TGTTTGAGAATAAAGGGTGACTACCAAGTAATAAAAAAAACTTTCAACAGAAGGTCTCGTTAGCGGATACTGCAGCAATATGAATACAATGGTTTTCTTTAATGTTGAAATAAACTACTCTCTAATGATTAAAGAAAAAGAGATTCTGCTTTGGGCTTTTTTTAATTAGAGGGTGCAGGACGGAAACGGTGTTTAATCTTCAGCAACGGCAAGACTACTGCGTGCTATTTTAAATCAAATGTATTGTGTGTATGATCACATCTTGTACTTTTAAAGGGACCTGTCAACTAAAATGTTATCCTTTAAAATTAAAATGGAAAAAAAAACAAAACTAAGCGCTACATTACAGTGCATAATTTAAATAAACCTGAAAATACATCCAAATATCTTTTAAAATAAAGGATTTTTTACGTGTGTGTCTTAAGGCTGTCACACACATAAAGGGTTATTTATTAAACTTGGCATGTGGACAATTTACTAAGGATTCACAAAATTTAAGTAAAATGTTATTTACTAAACCGCAGATTGACAACAGGATTGAAAAAGCTCTGCTAAAATTGCTGGCTGAAACGGGTAATATAAGTGAATGTCATACGTGGATCTGAGTATTTACATAAATGAAGTGACCACACATATTATAATACCGCTTTAATGTATCATACGTGCCCACCAAAGTCTAGGTAGAACATTTTTAGATAAAATGCAGGGTCCTTGTTTGTGTCTGACCCAAGTGTTTGCCCCATCTTGTTGTCAAAAACTGGTGTGATATATATTCTCATTTACATACCGCCAACTTATTCCGCAGTGCTTAAAATTATAAAGGGGGAAATTTAATAATAAATGAGACCTGGGCCGTCTTTAATAATGATTGGGCCCGGGGCAAGCATTTGATAGGGCCCCCTGACCCTAACTCCCTGGCATGCAATCACGATCTCCACTTCCCAACGCAGTAGCGGAACCATTTTCCCATGCTTGCAGAGTTGTATTTAGCACTGAGTTGTGTTTGTGTGTTTGAATGGAAGCATGTTTTTGTATGGAGTATGTTTGTGTAAATGTAGGGGTGTGTTTGTAGGTGGTGTTGGTGTTTGAATGCAAGCATGCATCTGTGTATTTTTTTTTTTAATGCTGGGTGTGTTTATATATATTTTTGGTGTTTAACACAAAGATGTATTTGTATGTATTGTTGACGTTTCAATGCAGGACTGTGTCTGTATGTAGTGTTGAAGGTTGAATGCAGGGGTGTACTTGTGTGTAGTGTTGGCGATTTGAATGATGAGATGTATGTACATGTACACATACACTGCCACACACACACACTGTGATACACAAATACACACTGAAACACATGCAGATACACAGATATAAACACTGACACTCACACTAACACACAAGCAAATACAGACTGACACAGATACACACACTAACACATACAGACACACAGATACACAACCTGACACACATACGGAGACAAATATACAAACACTGAAACACATGAATACTCAGACACACTGATACATATACTGACACACATGCAGATACACAGATAAAAACACTGACTACATACAGATGCACACACACAGATATACAAACGCATGTACACACACTGACAACATACAGATACATAAATACATACAATGATAACTTACAGATACACACACTGACACACATACAGACACGCATATACAAAACCTGAGACACATGCAAAGACACACAGATATACTAAATACAGATACACAGATATACATACTGACAGACATAATGACACACTGACATAGTGACACACACTGACAGACATACTGATACACACACAGACGCACACAGACACCCTGACAGACATACTCACACACACATACTTAGATACACACAGACATACTAAGACACACACAAATACTGACACACACATGCAACGTTTAAATTTTTACACATTGACAGGCATACTGACACAGTGACAGACAAACTGACATGCACACTCACAGACAAACTGAAACGCACAGACATACTGACAGGCACAGACAGACATACTGACAGGCACAGACAGACATACTGACACGCAAAGACAGACATACTGACACGCACAGACATACTAAGACACACATACTCACACACACAGATTTACTGACCACATACTAAGACACACACAGACACCCTGACACACAAATACCCTGACAGACAAACTCACACACATACACACATACTAAGACACACACAGACATACTGACTCACACAAATACTGGCACACACACATGCAAAGTTTACATTTATAAAGCCACCCTCCAGCCCTACCTTATGGGTTCCCTGGGGTCCAGTGGCAGGCTGAGGTCGTTGGGAGTGTGAGGCTCCTGCACTCCTGCTCCCTCCTGACGGCCTCCTACTCCATCCCGCGCGGCTTCATTCTATCTGGGAGGAAGTGACTCACGGCAGTCACTTCCTCCCAGCCTGCTGCGGTAAAACCACGGGGTCAAAGTGCCCGACCGGGGCCTCTTAGTGTGGGGGCTCCCGGTGCAGCCGCAGCACCGGCGGGCCCAGGGGGCAAATAAATTTATTTCTTTTTTCCGGACAGCGGGGCCCACGGGGTAGCTGCTTTGGGCCCCCCAGGAGTAAATGGGCCCGGGGCAGCTGCCCCGTTTGCCCCGCTTTAAAGACGGCCGTGAATGAGACCATTACAAAATGTTACAAGAACAATAGGTTGAGGAGGACCCTGCTCAGACGAGCTTACAATCACAAAACCAATGATTCTTGTATTTGCCACATTAAAATCACTCTATCGTAGTAGGTAAGTATGTCATTGGCTCCCAAGTGACCATTCAATTTCTTCTCCAATAGTGTAAGCAAAATAAGGTGGTTACGCCCACTTCGCTCTTCTAACGCTACCCAGAAATCTGTGTTCCAGAAAGATCCAAAGTATGACCTTTACTGTGCTAGTCACGCACGTATACATTACATGTGATTTAAAATTATTTTATGTCCCTATTCAAATAATGCTTAGATGTTTATGAACAGCCTTAACCTTGGTAATTTATGTTTGGCTTACTCACCAAAATGTTATTTTGATTTTTTAATTCTTTATTTTCATGCGAAACATTCATACGTGTATTACCACAACAGTAGACGCACGCTTTTGAAAACCTTTCTTAGTGCTTACAAAGTATGGTAAAGATACATTTTGCACACAGTTTTAGTTATTGATATGTTATAACAATATATTTAACTAATAAAACATTAAGGGTGTGGTACACCTGGCTTTGTGGAACAGTGCATACAGACAAGAGCCATGGAGTTGGTGAAGTGTGTAGCGTCGGGTAGGTTATCCGACTATAGTAGTCGAGCCTCAGCTCTGTATCTAGGTCTGGAGGTTGTGAGTGCGCTATATGGCGCCCTATGCATGGGCAGTATTTGTCTGGTGAGTTAAGGAAGCCCTCTTTCAGATGGTCATGTATATACAAGAGGCCTGCACCCGTGATGTGTGTCAACTGTGGCCATGGAGTATTGCACTGTGCGCAAAGGGATAAATCTTAAAAATGGTGACAGCTATTCGTAGTTGTGACGTGGTTCGTGAACATAACTGTTTCAAGTCGAGTTGGGTAGGAGCTCTGGTTGTGTTAAACAGCCAGGCTAGGACCATATGGTATAAGTCTAAATATGGCAGTTTGTGTGGCTGGAGACACTGCAGGATGCCTCTGATTTGTGCGGATTAGAGTTGTTGGCTCAGGAGCTCTAGCAAAGCACAACTGCTCCGGTGTGGTGTCAGGCTCTGACCCCAAACTCACCAAAATGTTAATTATAAGGAGTTTTAAAAGAATTAACATTTTAGTCCAATATTGACCAATTGAAAACATTGCTGACTGGGAAATTGTCCAATTTAGCCATTGTGGCCTAAAATGTTACAATTTGTTAGATCAGACTATCTTTATTTATTTGTATCCGTGCATAATAAATGGGAAATTCCCTTTGAATTCCTGACAATCCACAAAAAGCAGCACTGTAACCCCACCCCCTCCCTCCCTCACACACCATCTGCAAAATGAGTATTTCACACATATAGAATATTTAGAAAAAACTCAGATTGACTGTTGAAATTTCACTGACATTCCAACCCAGTCAAAAGATTGAATTCCTTTTGAATTCACGTCGTGTTTTCCCGTTGGTGCTAGTGTTTGGCGTACAATGTGTGACGGCTTCCTACCTGCTGCTATTAGATGGCATGCTGTGAGTGGGTGTCTGAAAGCAGAAATAGATTCACACAGGATTATTCACTAACGTGAGAATTCAAAGTGGATTTCACATTTACGCTCAGTTATGCTGCTGCGGCCTGAATTTGAAATTCACTTTGAATTCTCATTTTAGTGAATAACTCTGTTAAAGCGACAAGCTCAGGATTTTAACCCTGTGGGTGCCAGAGAGTAGCACAATAGGTTGCCATCCCTTCTGGCACTTAAAGGATGAAAATGGACTGATCTGTACCCCCATCCTCCCCTGGACGTGGAGCCAGAGCTCTTCAAAGAGATGGTACCTCATGTGCACTTTACCCAATAACACTGACATTCTACAAACACACACACACATATATATATTTATTTATTTTTAACCCATTAAGGACCAATGAAGATGTATGCTGTTACTACTATATATTATTAAACATTAATGTCTCTGAATCTATTGAATTAACAAGCCAGGATGTGTAGAGAGGTTGGGTAACCAAGAGAACCTATGCTGGGACGAGGTCTTTACAGACAACTTTGTAATGACAGCAAACAATGGCTTTGGTCAATGAGGTGTTAATGTGGAGATCTGGCTGTTACAGTTCTGCTATGTGTTCTGTCAATGCGTGTTACATGTATGATATTTGCAGTGTGACAGAGCTCAAGGTATTTCTGGGCTATGACAGGTGGATCTCAGGAATGTGTGTGTAAGCTATACCCATCTATCCAATCTCAGTCAGTCAGAGCGCTGAACCCAATCCAGCACTATAAATACAGCTTCCTATTTATACACAGGGCAGGCACCAATCTGAACAAGGCACAGGATCCTAGCACTGTCACGGTCACCAGACAGAAGGGTCTCAGCACAGAGAGCAAGGAGGACAACTCAGTGTACCAAGGACTGTCACTTATATCAGACAGGGACCAGTGCACCAAGTAAACAGGACTGTCACTTATATCAGACGGGGGACCAGTGCACCAAATAAACAGGACTGTCACTGATTTCAAACAAGAAAACCCAACGTGCCAAATAAACAGGTCTGTCACTAATTTCAAACAGGACAACCCAACGTGCCAAGTAAACAGGACTGTCACTGATTTCAAGCAGTACAACCCAGCGTGCCAAGTAAACAGGACTATCACTTATATCAGACAGTGTACCAAGTAAACAGGACTGTCACTTATATCAGACGGAGGACCAGTGCATCAAGTTAGAAGGACTGTCACTAATTTCAAACAGGACAGCCTAGCATGCCAAGTAAGCAGGACTATGATAGCTATCAGAAAGTAAGGCCCTGAACACAGAGTAAACAGGACTGTCATAAACATCAGACTGCTGGTCTGAGCACACTGAGGGCGATAGGCACCTGGAGACATCAGCTGAAGAGTTCTATTTCCAGCACTGGTAACCCCATGGAGAGGTCCGGGAACCCCTATCTTAGCGTGGAGGCTATCTGGTCCCGCGTGGGATGTGTCCGTCTGGTGCAGATGTTCTTCGGATGTACTACTTTCAGCCTGGTCCTGCACCAAGCAGGCTTCAGCGCAGCTTACGGCGTATTCTGCATCTTCGTTTGGTGCTTCTGTTTTGCAATCACGACCCTCATTGTCATGTGTGAGCTGACACGGCTCCAGTCGTGCTTGCGTGGATTGTCGTGGGGAAATTTCACCGCCACTGTGGCAATGCTGGCCACCCTGATGACACTCACCTGTGCCGTGATTTACCCTCTCTACTTTGTGTCACTAAAATGCAGCTCCACCGACTGTACCACAAGGAACTACCGGCTAGCTGTCAGCGTAAGTGCAGGACTCCTATTCGTGGCCTATTCTGTGGAGGTATGTTTGACTCGTGCCAGGCCAGGGCTGTCCTGCAGTTACATGGCTACTGCCTCGGGTCTGCTGAAAGTCGTCCAAGCTTTTGTGGCCTGTGTGATATTTGGGGCTTTGGCAACAGAAAGCCAATACAAGAAATACGTGGCCACCCAATGGTGTGTGGCTGTATACAGCTTCTGCTTTGCTGTGACTGTGCTGGTGATCGTAATGAACATCACAGGAAGGGCAGTTACCCTGCGCTGCCCCTTTGAACACATCGTTGTTGTATACACTGTGGTGGCAATACTAATGTATATGAGTGCTTCCGTCATATGGCCTGTATATTGCTTTGACAGCAAGTATGGATCACCAGGGCGGCCATCATATTGCCCGTGGGGACGATGTTCATGGGACAGCCAGTTAGTGGTCACAATATTCACCCTTATTAACCTATGCCTGTATATAGCTGACTTGATATATACGCAGAAGCTACGCTTTGTAGCTCATTAGGCCTCTAAGTGGGAGGATTGACCTGTATCTACAGGACCATTTAAGTCGATAAATATATGGGGCAGGCTGGAAGGCAGAAAGACATATTCTATTTTATAGACCACTCGTACACCTTGCCTTTTTTAGGACCTGCAGCAAAACAAAAACCTACTGTTTCATTTTTGGTATTTTATAAATAGTTTTATGTTTATATAACGTATCCTTATTTAACCTTTATTAACCCTTTTGGAAGGAGGCGCCAGGCAAAGACTACCTAACAAATTAAATGCTTATTAAGAGAAAATCACTCAAGATCCACACAGCTCCTGGCCATCGCAAGAAGCATTTGAGAAATGTCTAAAATGTGGCTGCTGAGTAGGAAAGTGTCTCACTAAAAATATCTTGTCTGGTCCTAAAAAAAGCGCTCCAGTCTCCCCATATCCTTCATGTTTTGTTACTATGCTCATTAAGCCAGACCCCTACCAGCTCCATCGCTCCCTCTCTGTACTGATGGGCTGAGTATTTAGGGTATGTGCACAGGAATGCAGGAGTTTATCTTGCGAATACATCTGTTCCCTGATACCATTTGTCCCAGGAATGTCATTTGCAGGGTCCAGCTGACTTGAAGGAGTAAAGAAATTTGTAAAATGTCTGGAATTTACTAAATAGGCATGTGACAGATATGTAAGCAGTGGAGGGCACCATCTAATGGGCACAGGTGACAGGTTACATGTCTGCTAGTTACTGCTAAGTGCAGGACTATAGGGGGCGACATCAGGTAAGGTTGAAAACAGTTGGTCCAGGGATGGGTTACCATGACAACAGTTCTCAATATTCTGTCTAAGGATCATGGGAAATGTAGTAGACAAACTTCTGTAGTGTATTATTAGATATCAATGAACCTGTCCATCATAACTTGGTGAGATGTCTAAGTGGTCATTATGGAATGGTTGTCATGATACAATTAATTGAATCATCTTCACGCTTTATATCTTTGTTTACGTTATGGTTACTATTACAAAGAGCACCGACTGATAATTGTGCCACTATTACTATTATCTTTTATATAGCTCCAACATATTCTGCAGCGCATTACAATTATAGAATGGGGATATTTTGTAGCAAGTGACTGACATACAGAATGTAACAGAGACAGGCCTGCTTAAACAAATTTACAATCTGAAACTTAAAGGGACACTCCAGATCCCTAAAACACTTTAGCTTGCTGAAATGCTTTATGTGTGAAGAAAGTGTTACACCCCTGGCTGCCAAGCAGACAACTGGTCCTGAGATCTGCAGGTTTTGCAAGCTGTTTTTAGATATACCCCTAATTTAAAAGTGCAGGATTAAATGCATGCAAGTTTTATTTGGGGTATATCTACTAAATAGTGATTTTTTATTTATTATGTATTTAGGGCAGTGCAGTGTCCCTTTAAATACTTATATATCTGTCACAAAAAGCCCTTTAGTTTGACTTGCATCGGGATTCAATCTACTCTGACCCTTCACATCCAAATATTGAGCAATGATAGCATAAGAGAACATTTACACTGCTTGTGACCTGTGTTACTTCTGCATTTAATCACCACAGAATGACATAGTTTTTGTCCTGAGGGCACTTAAAGTGTGGCATTATCATGACTGTGCATTTTGCGGTTTTACAAATAGGGCTTTAAATGGCGCATCCTTCACGGCAGCAGTAAATTGAATCGAGCCCTGCATTACATATATTTACAACCCTAAGGCCAATGCACATTAACACTGCGCTTTTTGTCTTTACGTTTTTTACATTTTGCAGATATATCTGTAACTCTGGTTTCTGTCATATTTTTTGTTTTCTGAAGCACCATAAACTAAATATGTCTTTTATTTAATTAAATGGGGAACCAATGTTTTTAGGGAATTTTTTTTTTTTTAAACAATTGTCCCCATTGTAGTGGTTATGGTGCTGGCTGACTACTAGTACCATTCCCCAGTTTTGTGTTAACCCTTTTCCAACAGGGTTTGACTCAAAACTGCGGTACAGAACCTGTAATTTAGCACCATAACCACTGTAATGGGCTGCGATGGTAATGGTGCTTAGAATGTGCCTTTAATGCAATCCTGTAGAATGCCACACTCCCTATTTTAAAAATCACACCTTTAAACCGGTATGTAGTTATTTTTGATGTATTTTAATTATTTATAATTTAATTGTTACATTTCCTCCTTTATAATATTGTAAAGCTCTGTGGAATTTGTTGGCGCTATATAAATGATAATTATAATAATAATGAGGATAATGATGACCAGGCTAGTAAAGCTCGAGCTGTTAGAGAATGCCAACTCCTATACTGTTTTTTTTTTTTTTTTTTCACGGCCTTACCCAATTTATATTAGGGTTTTCCCCAACTCTCCAAATCTTTAGTGTTCCCATAATCTATTTATTATTCCGATTTCCTTATTAAATCACTATTATTTTTTTTGTCAATTTCCGCGGAGCCGGATCCAAGGTGCTACCATCTGCAAGTTACTGGCACTGCCTTCATTTACCAAGCGTATGCGACGGGGTCTAATTGCTGCTCATGCCTGAAGCAGACCAGTCATACACAGCTATCGTAGTTTTTCCATTCAGATTTTAATTTGCTACAATTGGGGTTTAGTTAATAATCCCATTGTTTAATTACTTACTTATAACAGCGGCACTCAGACTGCCTCGGGTTTAGTGCTGAATGGCAAGGTATTTTGCCCCAGAAAACACTGAATTGTATTATAATTGTGCCTCAGGTTGAGTTTTCGATTCACTACATTGCGCTGCTTAGCGAATAAATCACAAAGCATTTATCTCTGTTGTGCTTAAATAGTATTTTTCAATATATTGTGGTTGTAATTCTGTTATATGCAACTATGGTGAAGTGGTTTTGAAATTTGTTACGAAAGAATATTTTATATCTGTAACTATGTATTTAGTTTTTTTCTGTTTTGCACTTTTAATAAATTTTTCAAAAACAGTCAAGTCTCATATAACTGTATTACAAGAAACCTTCCAGCTACCGATTAGGGGTGTGAATGGCATGTTAGAATCTGGAATCCTGATTGGAAATGTCACCAGTGTGGTCTGGACAGACTGTAGGGGGGGTGACAATTCTGTATGGCAGTACGCAGAGTTCATTAGCATGAAATAGTTTTTATTATCAATGTTGGAATCCTAAGGGAACCTCTGTTATCATGTCTCCCAAGTGTCCCAATTTTGGAAGCACTAGAGAAAAGTCCCCTCTGAAAGCAGTACTGAAAGAATATCATCAGTATTCAGCTTGCCAGGGGGGCTGCAATAACTCAATGCGTCTAACCCAACATTGAATCATCACCATGAGGCCTATCAACCACGTTGGTTAATGACGCATCCCAAGTCAATACGCCACTTCCAATAGTAAAGCCATTACAATGTGAGATGACAGGGGTTTACTTATTAAAAAGAGAAAGATATTGTACTCACTTATGCAGCAAAAAGCCCCACACACACAATAGAACTCAGCCAACCCCACACAAGGCGATGGGGGAGGGTGTGAAGGGGGGCTTCATTAATTCTCACACTAGGGCCACGCAGTTTCTTGTTGTGCCCTTGGCTGACAGGAGTACAATTAACCTCGAAAGTGTTTAGGATGTATAGTCCTTATGGTGAGCCAAAATTCCTCTGTCCCTATTTTATATCGATATATCTCTTTTTTTTTTATACAATATTCTTTTGGTGTGCATAAAAACAGCAAAGTTGAAAAATTAAATAAAGCTATACTTTGCAGCAGGTTCGAGTAGGCTGGTTATAGGATTGTTTATTACTGCCAGCAATGGTTTCCACAGCAAGGTTTCACTTATAAAGGGAATAAGGCATCCATATTGGAAAGCCACACCATAAATAGATATGTATATAGTTGTAGACGTATTTAAGAATTTTTTAATATTTTATACGTTGTGATGGTCGAAGTACTAACATTCTGGGTGTGAGCTGCGTAGTATGTCGGTATACTTAGGGTTACCAGATCCACCATGTTTCCTGGGACACATATAATGTATACGTATATATGGTCAGCACATGAAAAGGGTTGCCCTGTAGTATGTCTAATTTAGAAGGTGTATAAGATTAATCAATTCGGCAATGAAGAATCATGCAGAGTATGGATTATACAAACTGCAGGCTAATCCTTTTCATAAATATGACAAAATTAGATGCAACCCTACCCCCAACCTGCGCTATTAGTGTAACGATAGCAACCATGTATAGATAAAATTTAATTACTGTTAAATAAATGTTTTTAATGACAGGTTGTTATAGTAAACTGATCTGATGGGGTGTTTTCAAAATGCTAAACAAGTCCTTGTACCAGATTCCGAAATACATCGCAGAAACTGCGTAGAATTGATTTATATACTTTACATCTAATCAGCAAATGTATTTAATTGGTGCATGTGATAGGTGCAGAATGTTCCCGTAACAAAAAAATATACAGCAATATTCTGACCTTCTGCACCTCTGATCTTACCACAACAACCTCCCGGACGTTCTGTCTCAGCACATAAATTGAAATAAACTAGAATATATGTCAAGGGTGAAACAGTTTTCACATTCTAACGAACTCATGGCTAGCACTGCAGCGTAAACATCTGGGAACTACATTACCCACGATTCTCAAGTAGTCATCAATATTCTAAAGGAACAAAGATGGGTCTACACAAACACTATTACTAAACTGGCATTGGTGGGGAATTGTCAGAAGATTTTAAATTTTAGGACAAAATATGTGATCTGTAATAACAATTGCTAACTGTTGTAGAGGTCTATTCATTAAATGACAAACTGTAACAAATTAAAATATGACCAGCAAAATGTAGCCACGAATAGCTTAAAGGGACACTATAGTCACCAGAACAACTACAGCTTATTGAATTTGTTCTGGTGAGTAGAATCATTACCTTCAGGCTTTTTGCTGTAAACACTGTCTTTACAGATAAAATGCAGTGTTTACATTACAGCCTAGTGATAACTTCGCTGGCCACTCCTCAGATGGCTGTTAGAGATCCTTCCTGGGTCATGGCTGCCTAAAATGCATCCAAACATTCAGTATCTCCTCCCTCTGCATGCAGACACTGAACTTTCCTCATAGAGATACATTTATTCAATTCATCTCTATGAGGAGATGCTGATTGGCCAGGGCTGTGTTTGAATCATGCTGGCTCTGCCCCCGATCTGCTTTTTTTGTCAGTCTCAGCCAACCCTATGGGGAAGCACTGTGATTGGATCAGGCCATTACTTCTGATGATGTCAGCAGACTGCTTGTCTTTCTGAGTCTAACAGCATGCAGAGTTACAGCTTCAGGCTTGAATACAGTAAGATTTTGCTATATTTATGGAGGCATGAGGGGCCCGGGGGGTTAGATGGTGGTTTTAACACTATAGGGTCAGGAATACATGTTTGTATTCCTGACACTATAGTGATCCTTTAACTGAGAAATCTTCCAACTCTGCTATAGCCGCAGCTTGCCTATAGCTGTTTGGGGTCCTTTCTTGCCGTCCCAGGATTGTGGGACACCAGGGAAATATTCCCAGAAAGCATGTGGAAGAGTGGGGGGTTTGCACATGTACGCCATCGTGACAGGCTGTCTGGAAGGATAGTCAGTGCTGCCTATACATTGAACATTGTGTGTATGGGGTGAAATGCATTGTATGTGTGTTTAAACATGGGTTCATCATTGTTATTATTATGGGAATTTATATAGCGCCAAGGTATTCTGGATCACTTGGTACTATGCTCTGCCCAGTTCTGGATTTAGGGCTGATCATTACGCTGCAACTGAGATGCTGTTAAAGGAACTCTCCAAACACCTAAAACAGAAATGTTTTAGTAGTTAAAGGAACATGCCAAGCACCAAACCTCTATATGGCACTGCAGTGGTTATGGTTCTAGAAGTCCCTGAAATCTCCCCAATGTAAGTAGTCAAACTATTTGCTAACAACTTGACAACCTATCTGAGGTCTGCTGGGCTCCTCCATTGAGACAGCGAAGCTCCTTGCATTGAGCTAATCTCGGTGGCCAATTAGCCGGCCCCTGTAAAACCGGGTTAAGCCCAGGTCCGCTAACGGAAGCTCCATGCAGCTTCTTGCTCTTAATGGAGAAAGTGACTGGCACCTGGCGGACCCTAGGTATGTTGTCAAATGACTAGCCTGGGTGCGCTGCAGTGGTTTTGGTGCTTTGAGCGGGCCATCTACAGCCAGAAATTCAGAGGGAATTTATGTTTCTGTCTTTGTCAGGGTCGAATAACATTTGCAAGTACCTAGCATAGACAGTGTATCGTGTCAATGTGGGTCATTTTAGGTTGTAACAGGCATTGAGTTACATTGTAGCAATTTTTCAGGAAGTTTCTGTTACTAAGTATCCCATTTTGGGTATTATTACATTTACCTATCAGTATATACCTATTATCCTATCCTGTTTGCTACTCACCTTTATATGTCCTGTCTAAGAGTTTAGTCCAGCTAACCCTCTATATATACCCCTCATTAGCTCTCCTCATTGAGTTAGGTGTGAAGTGTATAGGTGTTTTTTGGTATTTATTTTCGTCTATTGTTTTCTGGTGTATTTCATGTATTACAATAAATTGTGTTTTTAAATTTATATTTACATCATATTTTGAGGGTCTCTCTCAAGTGTCCCTGGGACCTCCTGTCCCACACCAATGTTTTGTTCTCCAATTTGTTTAAGGGTTATCCCCTGTGAGACAACTCAAGGACACACTGAAAAGCTCCTATTAAATGGGTTTTTTGTTCGTCTTTCTATTCTAGTTCTTAAATTGTAAAGGGCTGCGGAATAAGGTGTTGCTTTATAAAAGCCAGTAATAATAGTGAATAAACCCCTACTATAATTATTATTATTGCCATTTATGTAGCGCCAACAGATTCCGTAGCGCTTTACAATATTATGAGAGCGGGGATTTAGCAATAAATAGGACAATTACAAGGAAAATTACAGGAACGATAGGTTGACGAGGACCCTGCTCAAACGAGCTTAAAGTATATAGGCACTGGCGTACATACCACGGTCGCAGGGGTCGCAGATGCGACCCAGGTATGTACGCCAGTGCGGCCACGGCCACATTTTGCCAGCCTCTTCTCCTGGGGGCCCCAGGAGCTGGCCACCTCAGTGCCCCCCGAGGCTGGCAGTGGCGTCACTTTGTAGGCGTGCATGCAAGGGAGCATTCTCCCCTGAGCTCTTTCTGCCCCGCTCCCTTGCGTGCACCGCAGTGATGCCGGAGCCGGAATATGATGTCACTCCGGCATCAGTAAGCGGCGCGTGAGGGAGCTGAACAGGAGGATCAGTGCTCCCTTGTCGCCTGCAGTGACTGACCGCCCAGCAGCCCCACTGGACCCCAGGGAAAGCTGGAATCCCCTCAGCACTCCCAAAGGTAGGGAGGCTGGGGGATTCAATAAAAAAAAAAAATTGTGAGTGTATATGTGTGTTAGTGTGTCAGTGAGTGTGTTGCTGTGTGTGTCTGTTACTGAGTGTGTTAGTTTGTGTGTGTCTGTTAGTGTGTGTCTATTATTGAGTGTGTGTCTGCTAGTGAGTGTCAGTGAGTGTGCGTGTGTCACTGTGTGTGTGTGTCTGTTACTGAGTGTGTTAGTGTGTGTCTGTTATTGAGTGTGTGTGTGTTACTGAGTTTGTTAGTTGTGTGTTAGTTTCTGTGTGTCTGCTAGTGAGTCTGTTTGGTGTCTGTTAGTGAGTGTGTGTTTGTCAGTGAGAGTGTATGTTTTGTAAGTGATAGTGTATGTGTGAAATAAATTCTCATGCAAAGAACTTTGCAGAGAGATAGAGGGAAAAAGACCTAGCACAAAAAAGCTCTGAAACTGGATAGAAAATAGGGATCCACCAAAAACCTATTGAGGCAATGTATATAGTATTTGCTACACTGGAATAGCATCAGTAGGAACCCAGGAGCTAGTTAATGAGTATAAAAAAATAAAAATAATGCAAGATAACAGACTAAATACTTAAATATTAAAAATGAAAGTATAGAAAATATAGAAAATAGTCTATAAATAATTGTTTTGCAAAATATCTTATAACCCAGGAAACAGAAATCCCTGGGCAAAGGTAATTTAAGCCAAATGATATACTTCCATTCACTGCATAAGATGAAAGATAAAATAACAAGATGGCATAAATCTTTCAGGATATATAAACTGCCATCATGCAAAATATGATATAGAATGTGTAATAATAGGCAAAAACCAGTACATAAAACTGGCTGCTGTAAACAATGCAGAAAAAATATTGCCAAAAAATAACTAAGAATAACAAAGTTAATTTTATTTGAAACATAAAAATATATTAAAAAATAAGTTCACATTCAAGGCAATAGATGATAGAAGGTAAAATATGCACAAAAACCTTAAGCGCCGGCACGGATGGATATAGATAGTAATCCCGATACAGTATCCGAATTCTGGTAGCCGGTGAGGCAGGTTTGCGTGTCACAGTGCGTTCCACCTCGAGCCTCACTTTGGGGGAGCTGCACTGCTGATCGGATCGTACTGTTCAGATGCCTGCACTCCAAGCTGATCACTGGGCTGTTGTGCTGATACCTCTTTACTCTATCCCTTTATGAACGTTCTGTGAACTTGCTTTAGGCTTGTCTGACGCGTTTCGTAGGGGATAGCCCTACTTCCTCAGAGACATCTGTATTCACCTCCCTATGGGAGTGCTTATATATTAAACATTAAAATTATCATTATTATGGTTTAGTGTCTTTGCAGGTAGCGTGTTGGTTTAGTGTCTTTGCAGGTAGCGTGTTAGTTTAGTGTCTTTGCAGGTAGCGAGTTGGTTTAGTGTCTTTGCAGGTAGCGTGTTGATTTAGTGTCTTTGCACGTAGCGTGTTGGTTTAGTGTCTTTGCAGGTAGCGTGTTGATTTAGTGTCTTTGCATGTAGCGTGTTGGTTTAGTGTCTTTGCAGGTAGTGAGTTGGTTTAGTGTCTTTGCCGGTAGCGAGTTGGTTTAGTGTCTTTGCAGGTAACGAGTTGGTTTAGTGTCTTTGCAGGTAGCGTGTTGATTTAGTGTCTTTGCATGTAGCGTGTTGGTTTAGTGTCTTTGCAGGTAGTGAGTTGGTTTAGTGTCTTTGCCGGTAGCGAGTTGGTTTAGTGTCTTTGCAGGTAATGAGTTGGTTTAGTGTCTTTGCAGGTAGTGTGCTGATTTAGTGTCTTTGCAGGTAGCGTGTTGGTTTACTGTCTTTGCAGGTAGCGAGTTGATTTAGTGTCTTTGCAGGTAGCGTGTTGGTTTAGTGTCTTTGCAGGTAGCGTGTTGGTTTAGTGTCTTTGCAGGTAGCGAGTTGGTTTAGTGTCTTTGCAGGTAGAGTGTTGGTTTAGTGTCTTTGCAGGTAGCGAGTTGATCTAGTGTCTTTGCAGGTAGCGTGTTGATTTAGTATGCCACGGCTGGGGGCATGTCCTCCTCGAGGAAAATGTTTGGAGCGGGGCTGCAGCGTCCATGGCAGAGGTGAGGGTAGTGTTATATGTGGAGAGGGCCAGTGACAGACAGGAGAGGGAAGCGATGGATAGCAGTTGGGAATCAATATCAGCTGACAGCTCGTGCATTATTATTATCATTTATATAGCACCATCAGATTCCGTAGCGCATTGTAAATGATGGCTTGTTACTGCACTATTTATATATCTGATCCATTACGTCCCTGGAATTAGACTAGCACTATCTCTGGGTGTCCCATTGTACAGCGCTGCGGAATTTGTTGGCGCTATATAAATAATAATTTACTAATGTGAGAATTTACAGCATTTCCAATTTAAGGCCAGACTGGCCAAACTGACAGCTGAATGAGAAGATTTCCTGTAAATTTGAAATTCACTATAATTTCACACTTTAGTTAATAACCCTGTGTGTTTAGAGCTGGAACCGTGGCCAGCCCTTGTTGAACTACATTTCCCGTGACCCCCGGTCAGTGAATGCCAGCCGGGGAATTAAGGGTATTGTAGTCATCCTCTGCCATCAGCCGCTGAGCACTGTCTGCGTCACGTGATTCTACCACCGCGCGCGTGCAGAAATCCACAAACCTGTCAGCCACGCGGACACTGTCAAAACTTCCGGGGAGTGGCTGGCCGCCTGGGCGTGGTTATGGGCGTGGTTAAAGGGATCCTTGCATTGAGTGGGCGGGGCTCGTGTTGAATCTATAATCTGTTCTCCAATGAGATGTGAGGGGCGGAGTTTGTCCCTGCTCCCGGTAATCCGGTGCCGGTATTGGAGTCTATGAACATTGAGCGGCTGGAATCCCGGAGGGAGCAGAGGGTGAGTGCGGGGTTAGCGGAGGGGGGACACGGGCAACCTCCCTGAGTGACAGCAAGAGGGAGCCACGTGTCACCTAGAGTTACATCAGCCACAGCCACAGGGGACACAGAACCGGAATATACTGAGACTGTATACTGACTGTGTATACTGAGTGCCTGGAGTATATACTGAGACTGTGTATACTGAGTGCCTGGAGTATATACTGACTGTGTATACTGAGTGCCTGGAGTATATACTGACTGTGTATACTGAGTGCCTGGAGTATATACTGACTGTGTATACTGAGTGCCTGGAGTATATACTGACTGTGTATACTGAGTGCCTGGAGTATATACTGACTGTGTATACTGAGTGCCTGGAGTATATACTGACTGTGTATACTGAGTGCCTGGAGTATATACTGACTGTGTATACTGAGTGCCTGGAGTATATACTGACTGTGTATACTGAGTGCCTGGAGTATATACTGACTGTGTATACTGAGTGCCTGGAGTATATACTGACTGTGTATACTGAGTGCCTGGAGTATATACTGACTGTGTATACTGAGTGCCTGGAGTATATACTGACTGTGTATACTGAGTGCCTGGAGTATATACTGACTGTGTATACTGAGTGCCTGGAGTATATACTGACTGTGTATACTGAGTGCCTGGAGTATATACTGACTGTGTATACTGAGTGCCTGGAGTATATACTGACTGTGTATACTGAGTGCCTGGAGTATATACTGAGACTGTGTATACTGAGTGCCTGGAGTATATACTGAGACTGTGTATACTGAGTGCCTGGAGTATATACTGAGAATGTGTATACTGAGTGCCTGGAGTATATACTGAGAATGTGTATACTGAGTGCCTGGAGTATATACTGAGACTGTGTATACTGAGTGCCTGGAGTATATACTGAGACTGTGTATACTGAGTGCCTGGAGTATATACTGAGACTGTGTATACTGAGTGCCTGGAGTATATACTGAGACTGTGTATACTGAGTGCCTGGAGTATATACTGAGACTGTGTATATTGAGTGCCTGGAGTATATACTGACTGTGTATACTGAGTGCCTGGAGTATATACTGACTGTGTATACTGAGTGCCTCGAGTATATACTGAGACTGTGTATACTGAGTGCCTGGAGTATATACTGAGACTGTGTATACTGAGTGCCTGGAGTATATACTGAGACTGTGTATACTGAGTGCCTGGAGTATATACTGAGACTGTGTATACTGAGTGCCTGGAGTATATACTGACTGTGTATACTGAGTGCCTGGAGTATATACTGACTGTGTATACTGAGTGCCTGGAGTATATACTGACTGTGTATACTGAGTGCCTGGAGTATATACTGACTGTGTATACTGAGTGCCTGGAGTATATACTGACTGTGTATACTGAGTGCCTGGAGTATATACTGAGACTGTGTATACTGAGTGCCTGGAGTATATACTGAGACTGTGTATACTGAGTGCCTGGAGTATATACTGAGACTGTGTATACTGAGTGCCTGGAGTATATACTGACTGTGTATACTGAGTGCCTGGAGTATATACTGACTGTGTATACTGAGTGCCTGGAGTATATACTGACTGTGTATACTGAGTGCCTGGAGTATATACTGACTGTGTATACTGAGTGCCTGGAGTATATACTGAGACTGTGTATACTGAGTGCCTGGAGTATATACTGAGACTGTGTATACTGAGTGCCTGGAGTATATACTGAGACTGTGTATACTGAGTGCCTGGAGTATATACTGAGACTGTGTATACTGAGTGCCTGGAGTATATACTGACTGTGTATACTGAGTGCCTGGAGTATATACTGAGACTGTGTATACTGAGTGCCTGGAGTATATACTGAGACTGTGTATACTGAGTGCCTGGAGTATATACTAACAGCATGGTGACTATATTGACTGAGTGTGTACTGACTGAGTGCATGGAGTATACGGACTGAGTGTGTACTGACTGAGTGCATGGAGTATACGGACTGAGTGTGTACTGACTGCATAAACCCAGGATAGCCCGGCATGGAGTGAGTGTACTGAGAGAGTGACTGTATACTGAGTGCCTGGAGACTATACTAACAGCATGGAGACTGTACTGACTGAGTGCATGGAGTATACGGACTGAGTGTATACTGACTGCATGACTCCAGGATAGCCCAGCATGGAGAGAGAGTATATACTAACAGCATGGAGTATACTGACTGAGTGTATACTGACTGCATGGAGAGTGTATACTGAATGGAGAGTATGCTGAGTGTATACTGACTGACTGAATGGAGAGTATGCTGAGTGTATACTGACTGACTGCATGGAGAGTACACTGACTGCATGGGATATACTGCGTGTACACTGACTGACTGACTGACTGCATGGGATATACTGAGTGCATGGAGTACACTGAGTGTATACTGACTGCATGGGAGTATAGTGAGTGTATACTGATTGTATGGCGTGTACGGAGTGTATACTGACTGCGTGTGATATCAGACAATATTCATAACATCATAGATCCAACAATGACATTCATCAATGCCCATGACATCACTGGGCCAATGGTGACATCAAAGCTGCTATGTTAAAATATCTAAATTAAAATTTTTATATTTTAGCGTGCTTTATCTAATTGTATAAAAAGTTATGCCATTTATTTTACTCCGCAACCGTGTGTGCTTAAATGGTACCATTGTGCTAAAGTATTCCCCTTCTCACCAGTCTTGCATGTTCCCAGCTTGCACCTTCCACGCTCTGTCAGTCCCTTCATTGGCTTCCAGTTAGATATTGGGCCCAATTCAAAATTCTGGCGCTTGCTTACAAATCCCTACATAATGCTGCTCCAACATACCTATCCTCCGTCATACACAAGTATGTCCCGTCGAGACTCCTGCCTATGTAATGTAATAAGAATATTTTATATTTTTAGACTTAAAGGAAGACAGGCCTCGGCTTATATTAAACCTTTCTAAACCGTTTCATATTAAAGGCACAATCCAAGCACCATAACCACTACAGCTTATCCGGCTCTCCGTCTGAGGTAGTGGAGATGGGAAGCAGTAATCGGCGGAACCCAAGGAAAAAGTCAATCCAGCAAAGGGCCACCGTAGAATTCTTTGAATGCAATACTGTAGACAGACAATTATGGGACTTGAAGTTCAACATCGTCTACGGGGTTGGAGTTTGACAATGAGCTTTAGTGGTTATTTTGCTAAATGTTTCCCTTTACAGAGCTATACACGTCTATTAGAAACACATTTTACTAAAGCTTATACGTGGCTTGAAGGCAGAAAGAGTTTTTGGAATTTTGCCCAAATACATCAAATTGTTCGTTAGGTTAGTTTTCAAGAATATTTGTATCTAAAATAAGAATGCAGATAGAGCAATTGCTGATGTTTGATTTTACTCATTAATCTAATCTACTTTCTAGGACCATAAAACAAGGTGGAAGGTGTTTTTAATTAGGGCGTTTTTGTAAGAAACATAAGCGTGTGTTTGAGAGATTGGGGAGAGATAATTGTTTGCAGAACATACTGTCTCTCCCTGTGGAATAAACACAATATACCCCTACATCCAACCAGCAAACCTCCCTGTGTAATAAACACAATATACCCTTACATCCAACCAGCAAACCTCCCTGTGTAATAAACACCATATACCCCTACATCCAACCAGCAAACCTCCCTGTGTAATAAACACCATATACCCCTACATCCAACCAGCAAACCTCCCTGTGTAATAAACACAATATACCCCTACATCCAACCAGCAAACCTCCCTGTGTAATAAACACAATATACCCCTACATCCAACCAGCAAACCTCTCTGTGTAATAAACACAATATACCCCTACATCCAACCAGCAAACCTCCCTGTGTAATAAACACAATATACCCCTACATCCAACCAGCAAACCTCCCTGTGTAATAAACACAATATACCCCTACATCCAACCAGCAAACCTCCCTGTGTAATAAACACAATATACCCCTACATCCAACCAGCAAACCTCCCTGTGTAATAAACACCATATACCCCTACATCCAACCAGCAAACCTCCCTGTGTAATAACCATATACCTGTACATCCAACCAGCAAACCTCCCTGTGTAATAAACACAATATACCCCTACATCCAACCAGCAAACCTCCCTGTGTAATAAACACAATATACCCCTACATCCAACCAGCAAACCTCCCTGTGTAATAAACACCATATACCCCTACATCCAACCAGCAAACCTCCCTGTGTAATAACCATATACCCGTACATCCAACCAGCAAACCTCCCTGTGTAATAAACACAATATACCCCTACATCCAACCAGCTAAGTTGCCATAAAACGGATTGGAAAAGCTATGTTTTCTTTGATCGGTTTGCCCAATCATGGTAATCAAACGTAGCCTTTAATGTGAGTTTTATTGCTGTTTTCTTTTGTTTTACCCCTTCGTTTGTAATGATTGGATATAAATACTCCTCTTTTCAGTACTTCTCCTGCTGTGTCCTTGCCCCACGGGGCAGACATATTTAAATCTTTGGTTGGAAGCACAGTATATCCGACCAACGTCTATACCGTTAATTTTCAGTTTCTGGTTTAATGAACAAGACCCTGTTTGTTTGGCAGCTGTATGTACCTGTATTGATATTCAATAGGCCTTTTCTTTTACCAGGTATTCCAGGTATTAAGCTGTAGCCGTGCCAACATCTCCTGTTCCATAAACACTCTCCATTTGGATTGAGACACCTGCAATCATGAGTGTTGGCTTTATCGGGGCTGGCCAGCTGACCTATGCCCTCGTAAGGGGCTTCACTGTGGCAGGTAACAGGACTTGAAGGGAAACATTGCGATAGTACGGGAATGTGCAATACTGCTGTATATGTTGGAGCTTTATACTCAGAATAATATTACACTGACTGTGACGAGACCAATTTCGCCACTGTGCATTGGAGGAGCCTGGTTGCCTGCCTGCTGCCTTTTGACTATGGACCGGCATTTAAATACTTTATTTTCCTATGCAGAAAGGTCTATTCCTGTATTTCTGCCCTGGCATTCGGTAGATTCTCGGATTTACTGAATTAACTCTTTTAACCCAGATAGCTATGTCATGGAGCCTATTCGTGTAATAAAAGACTTTGGCTCCATGGCAATTGAACTGTATGTGTGGTCTGAGCGCCATTCAGTAATAATGTGCGCTCAGACCTAAGCTATCTGGGGATATGTTGCATGTCTGTATTTTATGTAATAAATGTAACCTTGTGTATTTTATTGTATTTTACTGCCATGTGCTTAATGGAGTTTTGCCTCTGTCCTTGGAGATAATTGGATTACTTCCCAATTATCTCCAGGATAGAAGACTCTGTGAAACTGGTTTTGGGCAGAAAAGCCATGCTTCCTTTTGGTCACAAAGGACTTCGATCTATCTTTTGAACCAATGGACCAATTTTGATGATTTTGACATATGTTTGTATTTGGAGTATGCTGATTCTGAAAAGTATGCTGATTTTATGTGAATGTGATGTATACTTTTAAAGTTATGAATAATGTGGGAAAACTGTATTTCTCTGGCTTTGATTAGATTAACCCATTGTGTAAGGTAATTGTATCACAGGCAGAGGGGAGGATTTTGTGTGGGAGTGTCTGAGTGTATTGTACGTGTTTATTGGTTGTTTTCCAAAACCCTGTGGGTGGTACTAACGTGTAAGAATGTGTATATAAGAACAATAAACCCACAGCTCTGTCTGTTCCTGCTTGACCCTCATTTAAATGGTTCCGGTTCGGCTGTTTACGGCATTCATATGCTTGTCCGGTTCAGTGACTTGGTGTCTACAGTAGCTCCCTCTATATCTGGAAGGGAATATCTCCTAAACGGCTGTTAACCCCTTTTATGCCTTGGGGTGCCGTTACACTGACATAACCCACCATTTATCACTGAGCTTTGATGCACAGTGCTCACTTAATTGCATGTAAGCTTTATATTGTATTACATCATGCAATAAAGCCTGGAAGGGCTATTCACTCTTAATGCTGAAAAATAGAACTTGCCCTGTATATATGTATCCAACTACACCTGTAGCCTGGCTGAGAATTATGGCATTAATATCTATTCACCAAGTAGGTGGATTCTGCAAGACGCCATCGATTGCCAAAATGCCTGTGGTACCTGTCACATGTTCTAGAACAGGGTTAAAGAATTCAGGTTCTAGGTTACTAGCCAGGTGTTAAAAGCTACATGCCACTGCAAACCTGAGAGGGTCCATGGTGAACCCACCAGCTTCTCAATTATTGGTGTACAAGGGTCAGTGCTCCCCTGTAAGCAGTGCGTTTTCGGTTGCTGCCACTGATCCAAGCAGTTAGACATGCCAATTGCTGTGTGTAGAGCACTCAGTGAGCACAGCAGCTCACACTGGAGAGAGGGTGATTAATCAATACCCCAATATCTTGTGCACTAGAAGGATACGAGTTATAGAAGCCTGCATATACATATCAGCTATTAATTTTCTGTGATAATCCCCCTTTAATTTCCATACCTGTAATTAATTTTCTATCTTTCCAGGAGTGTTGGCTGCTCACAAGATTACAGCGAGCTCTCCTGATACCGACCTTCCAACCGTGTCTGGATTAAGGGTGAGAGAGATTTTTGTTGGTCACTAAAGGTACTTTAGATGAAGTATCTGGTGAAGCTGTGTGATTGGGGGATGTACAGATTGTATCCAAAGTATTGTAGTGTGCAGCAATTCTGGGAAAAATAACAAGTTTGTGTCCTCAAAGGAATAGCGTATATATCCTCTAGTAATTAATGTAAAGTCTACATCAAGTCGCTTGGTGCCAACGTTATTGCTGTAGGTGAGTGGTATTCGTCAGAGACCGTCTCTTATCATATTGTTTGCCTTCTTGTGGGATGTTATTGCTGTCAGGAAACGTCTGATGAAACAGGAAGCTTCTTGGTGTGTGTAGGTTCCAAGTCCTCTGTAATTCGTACCTTTTTGCAGTTGGTGTTTCCCTTTGAAGGCATCCATCCTAAAACCAAGGAAGCATGTCCGTTCTGAAACTGGGTAATGAGGGAGGGCACTGGCAAGGGGTGACACCAGCTCTCTCACCACTGAGGTGTCCCTATGGGATATTTTTTAGTTTGGAAGTAGTTTTTAGGGTTCAGTGCTGCTTTTGTTTTTTGAGGTAATATCCTACATAAAACCAACAACATAGGAATACGGCACTAAACAAACAAAAAAATATGCAATGGTGTAATACAGTTTAGTTCCAGTAGAACTCTGTATAATTGCACTCACAAAATATGTGTATATCACCGCATATTAAGGGGGGCCTCCCCCCGCTGCATAGGGGGCAAGGGTCCACTGCGCAACTGGACTCCACTAACCGATGGTGGATTTAGACTCCAGTGGTGTATGGTATCAAGTGTATTTATATTAGAACACAATTACGTATTTCATTTTCAATAGAGATTGTTGTGCAGATAACTGGTATTGCTATGGGAACCAAGTTCACCCCAACTATGCCAATGTCTTTGAGATTTTGGAAGGACCAATTTTTCTGGTCTGGGCATGGCTGACTGTGGAACTTGGTCCCATGGTGGAGAGTTATTGATTACATCATTATTTGGAGGGGTTCAGCATCTTATTTAAAATGTTTTCGCGATTATATTAATTCAAATGAATTCAACTTAAAATGTGCCCGAAGATACATTCTTTTTAGATACATTTTTTTGTGCTTATGGCTTTTTTGTGATTAATGGTTTCCAGTTTCATGAGTTTCATTTTTCTATAGGATTTGGAAATAGAAAATCAAAAATTTTATTAAAAAAATTTAAAAAAAGCAAAACAGATATAAATATTTATATCCATTAAAGAAGCAATTCTAAACCTTGGCTTAAAGGGACACTATAGTCACCTGAACAACTTTAGCTTAATGAAGCAGTTTTGGTGTATAGAACATGCCCTGCAGCCTCACTGCTCAATCCTCTGCCGTTTAGGAGTTAAATCCCTTTGTTTATGAACCCTAGTCACACCTCCCTCCATGTGACTTGCACAGCCTTCCATAAACACTTAATGTAAAGAGAGCCCTATTTAGGCTTTCTTTATTGCAAGTTCTGCTTAATTAAGATTTTCTTATCCCCTGCTATGTTAATAGCTTGCTAGACCCTGCAAGAGCCTCCTGTATGTGATTAAAGTTCAATTTAGAGATTGAGATACAATTATTTAAGGTAAATTACATCTGTTTGAAAGTGAAACCAGTTTTTTTTTCATGCAGGCTCTGTCAGTCATAGCCAGGGGAGGTGTGGCTAGGGCTGCATAAACAGAAACAAAGTGATTTAACTCCTAAATGGCAGTGAATTGAGCAGTGAAATTGCAGGGGAATGATCTATACACTAAAACTGCTTTATTTAGCTAAAGCAATTTAGGTGATAAGAATAGCGAAATGTCAGATAAAATAGCCTAGAAAAAGTAGCAAGAAGATTAACTAAACTGAAACGAGAAGAATTTGTTAAAGAAAAAAAGTGAGATAAAATTACATTTCCTTCATCAGAGGATTTATGGTGTGACGCGCCATTTCACAACAAGGAGTCTACCAGTGCATCTAGGGCGGTATGTCTGCTTGCAGGTAGAGGCTATTATCGGTTTACCGCGATAATCTTTAGAATTAAAGGTGAGATCTAATCAGCAAACTGATTTGGCTTCTGAGTTAGAAATAATCAAACTTTACAACTAAATTGCTGACCTGTATTTCGGTAAAGGTAATTACGGTCTTAATAATCGTTTCATACAACCTGTGTGATAAGATTATCTTTATCACTAATCTGGAACAGATTCAACAACAGAGTACAAACTCAAACCAGCTGCATCAGACACTTTTATAGAGAGAGAGCTTCAGATCTGCTATACCAGTGATGTATAACACTCGGCACTCCAGCTGTTGCGGACTCTGTTACCCATGATTCATAGCCAGGCCAGCCATTTACACATTGTTTGATTGTTTTTTTTGTTTTTTTTTTATGATACACTATCTGTAAACATTATAGCAAAAGCTGGAATAAAAGTAGTGTGAGCAGGACATTTAGGTGACAGATTACTCAATATTTGATGCACAAGGCACAACAAGGGATCTCTGCTGCAGTGACACTGTCCCAAGTGAAGAATTTAAAATGTTTAATAAATCATTCACGATTATTCATTTGGGACAGTCTGGAGCTGTAGTTGGGCGTATATTTCACGATAAAAGGAAATGGATTATATAACCTTCACCACTGTTTGTCCTAAATTTGGGCTGGAGTGGTTAGTCAGTTGGCTAGTACCAGCACTTTCTTGGGGATGTACCCTTGTAACCATCAAGAGTTTCAAAATTGTTCTAAATGAAAAAATCTCTTGTCAATGGTAAAGCTACACAACTATTAGTATCAGCGTATGAGCAGTGTATCAGAAAATAAACTTAAACAAAGTATCCAGAAATGGTAAACTGGCGACTTTAGGCCGCTGTAGGGGCAAACTAGACACAATGTCTCAGATAAAGGCTTTATTATAAATGTGCCATTTAAACCACCAATCTATCTATTACCCTTTTAGAATTGTGCAGCTACTGATATCCAACAGTTTAATGTATACAAAACACCCTTTTAAATATTGATAAATGATGGAAACGAAACTCCCTCATTTAGACCAAAGAGAGAGAGAGAGAGGTGATGGAACCTTAAGCAGTCAGAATCTTTATTACACTGTTTGATATCAGGGAAGAAACTGTAGGAAACTCTGGGATACAAATGGCTTTTACCATTGACCAGACAGTTCTTCATTTAGAATACGTTTTAAATTCTATTTATTTCAGGATAAGCGGGGGGATTAGACAATAATACAAGGTCATTATGAATGGTTTGTTTTAAAGAACTGATGGCAGAAAGTATTTTTTATTTTTTTAAAGAAAACAGGAGTTTGCACTCATTATAATATGAAATCATATTCTGCAATTTGCCCTCGATAATGACCTTGCTCATACAGTATTTGGTAGTAATGGGTTAAGTTCAGGAAGCACAGCATCTTGTCACAGTAGCGCAGCCCTTTGCTGATCTACTGCAATAGGTTCATGTGCTTTGTGAAACGGAGCTGGGAGGAGGGGTGATGAGAGCCCATGGGCTAATAAAAGGTGATGTGCGGTGAGAGACCTTTTTAATTTCTAATTTGTAGAAGATTGGAATAAACTTCACCACCAGCAACAAGGATACAGTGAAGAATAGTGACGTGCTCTTCCTGGCTGTCAAACCTCACATCATCCCCTTCGTGCTGGATGAAATTGGCTCTGATATTGAGGACCGTCACATGGTTGTTTCCTGTGCTGCTGGCGTAACCATAAGCTCTATTGAGAAGGTAAATATCTGCCTCTTACTCTATCTGCTCTTTCCTGTCTGCATTGCTCTTTCATTCTGTACATCTTGTCTCCGCGCTCTGTAGAAGCTCAGTTTCTTCAACCCAGCTCCAAAAGTGATCCGGTGCATGACGAATACTCCTGTTATTGTGAGAGAGGGGGCCACAGTTTATGCCACAGGGACCCATGCCGAGGTGGAGGATGGGAAGTTGTTGGAGCAGTTGATGGGGAGCGTTGGGTTCTGCACGGAGGTCGAAGAAGATCTGATTGATGCGGTTACTGGACTTAGTGGAAGTGGTCCTGCTTACGTGAGTTTGAATTTGGGGCATAAAACTCCAGCCATAATGCCCACATACAGTGGGTACAGTAATTTAGCAAACACCAAGTACCATCGCTGTACTGTGTAATATAGCCTGAGTTAAAATGCCATTGTGATGTCTTTAAAGGCTGCTGTGCAAGGTGGAACGATGGAGGGAGTCACTATTTACTGTCCCTTTGCACAGAGCCATGGCTGACAAATTAGTTTCTCTGCGCGATGAATTAGGTGTTATGGGCTAGATTTTGTTGTGTAAAGCAAGGCAAAAGGTGAACTCTGTTTTCAGTGTTCTAGAGCAGTGGCTCCCAACCATTCCTCAAGTTTCCCTCTACCAGTTCAGGATTTAGGAATTACCCTGTTGTATCTAAAGTGGTTTTTAGAGAAAGGGAAAAAAACACTTCAGACACAACAGGGTAATCCCTAAATCCTGAACTGGTAGGGGGTACTTGAAGACTGGATTGGGTACCGCTTGTCTAGAGAGAAAGGGTTAATTAATGTAGTAATCTGTGTGATTCCTGTATCTGGCTAAACATTATTCTATCTCTTTTCTCGTCAGGCCTTCACCGCCCTGGATGCTCTTGCAGATGGTGGGGTTAAGATGGGTCTTCCTAGACGGCTTGCGGTTCGTCTTGGTGCTCAGGCCATGCTGGTCAGTATTTCCCCTCTTAACCATTTTATAGATCTTTATACGGTTTGCCTTTTATTTTTTTTATATATATATATATATATTATTAAAAAAAAAATTTTTTTTTTTTGTGCAGGGTGCTGCAAAAATGCTTCTGGAGTCCGAGGAACACCCGGGACAGCTGAAGGACAATGTGTGCTCTCCTGGTGGGGCCACCATCCATGCTCTGCACTTTTTAGAGAGTGGAGGCTTCCGCTCACTTCTCATCAATGCTGTAGAAGCCTCTTGTATAAGGACAAGGTAATGGGGTGACTAATCTGGTGTCTTCTAAATAGTCAAACTGTACCTTTACTACTTGTTTGTCTGCCTTGGTCCACCTGCCAAGTCTGTCTATCTGCCATTATGTGCATCCTGCATTTTCCTTGCTCCATCCCCCTTTACCTATCTGCCCTTTTAGGATCTTGTAACAAATCCTATTCTAAGGAATTGCGTTATTGAATATTGAGTTGGGCAGTTTGAGAAACGATTCAATTTATATTCCATAAACTCTTGCTGAGAAAATCTAAAACGCTGCCATTAAATACACTTGGAATGCTATGATTAAGTAACAGGTGATAACTGTTTCCTAGTATGGTCAGAGTGTATTACAGGAAGCTGCAAACTTTGGGATTTGAAGGAAAAGAAAGAGCTTTAATATTATCATTTTTTTTTTGTTATTTTTTTTATAAATCTGTCATCTGTATGATTAGTTAAAGGTTAATTCCAGTATGGAGTATCCCTTTAGATCAAAGGGTGCAAGAATGCTTACACTGATTCCTTCTGTCTCCAAATGATGCTCCTATCCCCACCAACTCTGTATCATCCACATATTTTTTTCCATCGTAACGGTTTTCTTTCCCCCACTATAGGGAGCTCCAGTATATGGCTGACCAAGAGAAGATCCCTGCAGGTTCAATTAAGAAGACCACATTAAGCAAAGTGCAACAGGAGTCCCCCTCCGTCTCAACTGCAGCCCAGGGAGCTAAAGTCAGTCTGTTTAACAACAAGTACCCCAGTGGGTTAAAAAAGTTTTGAGAAAGCACGGTTCTTCCTCTGTAACCACAGAATTGAAAACATAGCTCCTTAGGAGGCCAGCCATATTTAGGTAGCGTGTATGTGTGTTTCGATAGGGCGTCTGGCAGAAAGCATGTGATTTTATTTGGCTTATATTTTATTTTCTTACAAAAATGCATTTTAGAATCCTTTAACCACCAGTCTACTTCTTGGTAGGATTAGATCCTTGGCTGCATATTGCTTGTAGAAGCTTCAGTTTATTTAAAACATGTAATAATTAGTTTTTCCCCAAAGGAGAAAAATCAAGACTGTAATACCTGATCTGTAACGGTTTTCCATGTAAAATACTCACTATGAAAAATATCTGTAAAGATACCAAAGTTTTTCGCTGGGCATCGACGGTTTCCTGCGCTATTATGGGGATCATGGTTTTTTTGTGTGTGTTTTTTCTGATTTTCTCGTTAATCTCTGTAATAATAAATAAGTGCTTCATCCCAAAAAAACTATGATTTACAGGAACACTCAAAGCACCATAGCCAATGCTGTGTAAGTAATTTGACTACTTACTTTGGGAGGGTCCCTTCTGGTCCCATACCAACTACAGAAGGTTGCAGTGGTTATGGTGCTTTGGAGTGCTTATTTTTTAGTTTTTTGTGTTTAAACAATTTTAGGACAAACCTTTGGCCCCACTCTACACGACTTTTTAGCATCTGATGCTTTTTAGGGAATGTCTCTGTTAGAAAAGGTATCAAAAAGAGTGCTCAAAAAAATAGATACAATCAAAATAAAATGGATTATTTCTCATTCTTTCTGGGAAATTTAAATAATGATATTTACTTCATGATTCATCCTTTCTATGAAGTGGAAGTCTAACGTGCATAATAGGATTATATGCCATCACGAGGACAATGTCTTATTGAATGGATGATACTTTAATTATTTACATAAAAAAATGTTTTGTACTTTTTAATGTCTGTCAGGTGTATTATATTGTCAACACTCTGTTACCAATCAAGTACTGTCTCTTAAAATATTTTTATTATACATGTGCACAGCTCCCTCCTATGGTACTGTAGGTTTTGTAAATGTTGGAAAAACTCAATTTGGGCATTCATGGCCTTCCAGATTCCAGGACCACATTATTTTGTTAAATGCAAGTAGCAAGCATTGGGCTGGGTTGCATTCTTTGGAGCCTGTGCCTGCCCTTGCTCCATCGACCAAAATATCAGTGAAAATAAGTACCTCCGCACACGGTGGTAGTGTATAATGGTGGTTTATTCAGCCATGAACGGGCAATGTTTTGACACTCTTGGTATATTATTTAACTAAACTATAAGCAGTTCCAAAACTAAGGGTACAATAGCAGTAAAAAGTATCCTCCAACTTTAACAAGTTAATTTCCCCAAATTCTTCTACTTAGACTTCTAATTTCCAAATACCTTCTCTATGCACATTCCCTGTTAGTGGATAAATTCACAACTCCTTGTTTAGTGAAAAAATAACAAACTCACAGCTTTATTAACTAAACTTGTAGCAAACTGCTATCTTAAGGTTAAAATAGTGGATCTGAATACATTTTCCTGCTTGGTTTTAGACAAAGCTTGGCTATTTAGCCTTCATTTTGCAATTCTCTACAATATTGAATTCAGTGAATAAACACATCTCCTTTGATTGACTCCAGATTCCATTTTGACATCAAAGAGGACTCAACTGGGGAGAAATGTAAAATTCAGATTTTGTAAAACTGGAATCACGCTTGTACATGAATAAATCTGTTATTCAACTGATTAATTCAATGGTTAAAATGGGTGGAAAAATAAGATTCTCAGCTAATTATACGGTTAAAGAGCCAATTTTCTAAAGAAAGTATTATGACTTCAGACATATATCTTAACAATATAGAGGACTACCAAAGAAGGAACTTATCGAAACTCCACCAAATTTAAACCACTGTGGCTTGATAACTACAGTTGTAAAAAGTTTTAATAATGGATATTTGTTTTATCTCTAATATAAAAACAATATAATGGAAAATTTTGGGATTTATTGACTAAACTGTCAATGGTAGTGAATAGAAACTAAATCCTCTATTATTTCCACATTTTAGACAAAAATATCCATCTGTAAAATGTAACTGACTTTTAATTTTTTTTTTTTTAAACCAGATTTATATTTTGCAAACTTTGTTTTTTCGTTCTTCACAATTCACTTTTTAGTAAATTAACCCCCTTTTTTGTTAACGGTTTTGAATCACTCAGACTGTCCTGCAAAGACAGATTTGGTACTTTTTGTATTATTTTTTTAAATTCGGTTTTTGAACATTAAAGCTTTCTTCTCCTCTTGGTCTGTTTTTCTATTTTTTTTCAGAAATATGGCAAATTACTAATTGGAGGTACTAGGTGATATTTAAACAGGATGGGATAGAGTACCCTGCTAATTAAATATCTGTGTGTCTAATACTTCAGACCTGACTTTGGTTTAATAAATTCCCATGTTTATAACTCACTAATTATTGTCAAAAATCTTAGAAACATGTGTCCATACGCAACTTTGTGAGTACTACCAACAATTAACTTATCTGACCCCTGATCAATCGGGCTTTCGCCAGAATCACTCCACTACAACTGCCCTCCTAAAGTTTGCAATGACATCCAAACTGGCATGGAACAAGGAGCCCTAACTGGAGCTATTTTCCTTGATTTTGCTAAGGCCTTTGACACAGTAGACCACGACATTCTACTGCACAAACTCGAAAACTCAGGTATTGGTGATCATTCTTTAAACTGGTTTCGATCGTATGTATCGGATCGCTCGCAATATGTGTCCATTTCTGACAGCGACTCCCTCCCTCTCCCAGTCACGTGTGGTGTTCCCCAGGGTTCCATTCTCGGCCCCCAACTATTTACATTATTTATAAATGATCTGCCTAATGCCTGCCAATCCTCAAATGTACACATGTACGCAGACGACACGGTAATCTATGCGAGCAAATCCGATCTACCGCAGCTTGAGGCTTTGCTCCAAGAGCAGTTTACAGAGGTAGAAAAGTGGATCGCTAAAAACAAACTCTTCCTGAACACTGACAAAACTGTCACAATGATCTTTGGAACAGTACCTAAATTACACAAATTACACAATCCCCACCTATCCATCAAAACAAATTCAAATGGCAGACTGACCACAGTCCACTCTTTCAAATACTTGGGTATGATATTAGACCCCAATCTATCTTTTGGCCTGCACATAAAAAAGCTTGCATCTAAACTTTATCCAAAATTAGGTGCCCTGTACAGATATGCATCTGCATCGCAATCCCACATTAATAAACTCAACACATTGTATAACTCGTTCTGCCGATTTGTGCTACAATGTAATTACAGGACCCATCATTGTGACATGCTAAAGGAACTAAACTGGCTGTCACTGGAATCCAGATGCACACTTCATCTTTCCAGCCTTGTGTTTAAGAGCTTTTCTGGGAAACTCCCACCCTACCTGAACAAAATGCTTTTCCCAGCTGTTCCCACTTTCTATAACCTCCGATCCAGTACAAGCACTTTACTTAGTCTACCTCAATACAAAAAGAAAGCGGCCCGATCCTCCTTCTCCTACAGAGCACCGCAATTGTGGAACGACCTTCCGCACAATTTAAAATCTTTCCTAAGCCTAAAGTCATTTAAGTGATCCCTCTCTACATAACTCAAAACAGAATGCACGTGTCATGGTTGATTATATATTTCCTGCCTGTTCTATGTTAACTATTGTATATATTGTGTATTAATATTGTTTTTGTATTTTGTTGTACCTAATGTAACAATGCAATGATTTGTGGACCCAGGACATACTTGAAAACGAGAGTAAATCTTTCCTGGTAAAATATTTTATAAATAAATAAAATAAAATAATTTTCATCTAATTGTTCAATGCTTGTAGCCCTTTATAAAATCTAAGGATTGGTTAGGGTCATAACCATTGACTAGGTTTTGGAGAATATTCTTGCAATCCGTATATTGATACATCATTAATGACATTAACGCCATGGCAAGCAGCACTGTCAGAATCTTTCTGAAAAACTAATTTTGACTTTGTTGGAATTTTACTGAAATCTGTATATTTCCTCCGCCTGACATTCTTAGACTATTAAAGGAGCTACAGAGTAAATCTTGACAGCTGTCACAGGGAATTGGCTCTGTCTTGTAGGATCCTCCATAGGTCTCAATGCTGTACTATGTATGCATGCGCGAGAGTACAGCAATGAGGTCTGCTCCTGGCACTGAAGAGGATTTGCTAGAACAAGATGGTCACGCCCGCAAGGGAGAGATTCGAGTAAGTAAATCTTACCTTTACCTGCCCCCCCCCCCCGCATCCCAGAGGCGATGTCATAATCCAGAGGTTTTTTATAAATTGTGCTTGAAGACCACACTATTCACAGATTCTTGCGCAGTGTGACCATTCAAATCATTAGGATTCCATTGTCTGTTCACGTTGCTTGTATTCCGTTATTGTGTCTGCCATTCACATGACATAGATTTTTTTTTTCTAACTGCAACTATGGGAGAATTCGCCAAGAGAAATGCTAATGGTTGACCAAAATAGCCTGGAAAAATAATTTTGTTGCTTGAATTTTATATTCCATTTTTTTTCTCCAGTGTAGTGAATTAACCTCTTATTAACACAGTGAGTATATCACAATCCATTGCTAAATCTGTTCATCCCAGCTGATCCCTGCCAGGTCCCTGAACCTTTCTGCACAATGGGTTAAAGATCATATCCCATTTAATGCAGAAGCACTTGCCCCCCCAAAAAAGTTTTAGCCTTTTGCTAAAATAAAATCTGAAATATAGCATATATGTTACACCACAAGTCCAAAAGGCAAATTTCTCTTATTTGCTGTGTAAATATTTTCCATGACCTTAAAGCACCCTGGCTCTTGTATCTCTGTTTTATTATATTTGTCTGTAGTCTTATCTCATGTTTTCCCTTATTATATGACCTTTAGTAAAATGAGCATTTCAGCCAAACTTTTTCAAGACATATCCTAATCTGATATTTGACTATTTATTCGGTCTTACAAAATAAAGCGGTATCAGGTTGTAGATCTTACATTGCAGGACTAAAATCCATTTTCTAGTTTGTGATGTTATTTTGAATGTTAATGAAACTTGCCATTTCAACCAAGATATATGGGAGCAGTCCTGCTGTGTTCTGTTCTAAAAGGTGAATTTGATTTCTAAAGTAATGCACACACCACAAGATTTGCCTTAGAACTCGTATAGTTGGTAATTGTTATACCTATTCTGCCTATTGGCAGACCTACTCTGTAAAATGAATTATAAAAAAAATATATATTTTTTTAAATCCCTGGCTTTTGCTTATGGAGCTAAAATCAATGGTGGATCCAGCGGTGAAGCTCTGAAAAGTCAGGGGATTCATGTTGATCCTGCAGCAGGAGATTAATTGATGGCCACCTCACCAAATAGCCATGTTGTAAATCAAGGTGTCTCTTTCTGTCTGTCTCTACATTGATGTAGGTATCTGCATTTGGCACATGTATCAATAATTGTAGGTGTTGCAAGACAATCTCTGTGCAGCCTCCCATGGTCCTGTGAGATCCTCCATCGACCTCAGTGGTCTATTCTAACACACGTGGGCTCCTGCTGGATGAAGCACTAGGACCCGAAAAGCTGGGCACCGGGGACAGTTTCAGAAAAGTAAAAAGTACCTTTAACCTACATCCACGGAATACCAAGCAGCAAACTCACCAAATTAAGCAAAGACCCCAGAAAGTGACAGAGCCGCTTTAAAGTTTGAATGGGATATTTATGCAATAATTGATCTGGAAGAGAAAAAAATAATAATCTCTAATTCTGCTCTAGTTTTCTCCTGGCTAGTGTAGCCTGTATTCGGCCAGTTGGATTTCAATTCTGAGATTAGTAAATTATCCCCTCGAAGATATCATGCTATCTCTGTTATATTGTGCCAGAATTGGAGAATTCTCTACCTGTTTGTGAACAATCCTCAAAAGCACTATTGTAACGTTACTATGAATGGCTCCAACGATTGCACTCTAAATATATTTATTCCGGTTGTTGCGTACTAAACATGGCTAGAGGACCACGTACATTAATGCCATGTGCACTATTTAAAGGGACATTATAGGCAACCAGATCACTTGATCTCGTTGAAGTGGTCTGGGTTCAGTGTCCCTGCCCATCGGAGTCCTGCAATGTTTACATCCTCTATCAGACTGCCACTAGAGGTGCTGCTGGGAGTTTATTGGAAGCTGGGTTCCCTAAATAACGCTGGACGTCCTCACGCTCTGCGCGAGAGCCTCCAATGTCAGGGAAATCCCATTTATTTATTTATAAATTGATTCAATGCATTCTGCTAGGAGAACAGGCGCCTTAGGCCCTCCCATCGGATGATGTCAGAGGAGGCGGAGCTGGAATTGGATCAGTAAATAGTGTTATTAACGTGTTATGGTGTCCGGTGAGCGCGTGACGTGTATTCCTTACACTATAGAATCCCTGTCCCTGTAGCCTATGTTTATGTATCTCTGTCCAGCAGCCATAGACAGGTAACAATGTTGCCCACCAATAAAATGGCCTCCTGGCTCCGCCCTCCTGGAGTTTGTCCTCATTCCACGCAGTTTCCGCCCTAACAGCTGACGTCACGTAGCCACGCCCACTGGGAAAGCGAGCTTTATGAATGGAGTCACGTGACCAAACAGAAGGTGACGTCTCCAGCGGCGTGAGGACAGGGCGCCCGGGCCCACGCGACCAGGTCGGCTACTTCCTGGCTTCCCGCGTCACGTGACCTCGCTCGGTGCCCGCCGGTGTGACGTAAGAGCCCGCGATCCCCTCCAATGGTGGCTGTCTGACGTCACGCTGGCTGTGATGTCATGAGGGATAAGAAGGGGAGGAGCCTTGACTGACAGGTGCAGTTTGGGGGTAATTAGGGGGAGGGGGATCATTATGGATCACAGAGCTCACTCTGAGTGCACACTCACACTCTGTCATCACTTTAACACAGTGCGGGCAACGCTCACTCACACTCCCCGATCCCCCTCCCATCCCCACTCACACTCCCCGATCCCCCTCCCATCCCCACTCACACTCCCCGAGCCTCCCCCCACTCACACTCCCCGAGCCTCCCCCATCCCCACTTACACTCCCCGAGCCTCCCCCACTCACACTCCCCGGGCCTCCCATCCCCACTCACACTCCCCGAGCCCTTACCCCATCCCCACTCACACACTCCCCGAGCCTCCCGTCCCCACTCACAGTCCCCGAGCCCCTACACAATCCCCACTCACACTCCCCCAGCCTCCCGCCTCCACCCCATCCCCACTAACACTCCCCGAGCCTCCACCCCATCCCCACTCAGACTCCCCGAGCCTCCACCCCATCCCACTACACCTCCCGAGTCTCCCACTCCGCTCCCAGTCTCCCATCCCCCCCACTCCCCACTGCATCCCACTCTCCCCCGAGGTCTCCCCACTCACACTCCCATCCCCACTCACACTCCCCAGCCTCGCCCATTCCACTCCACACTCCCCGGTGCCTCCGCCCCATTCCCACTCCTCCCCTCCCTACATCCCACTCAACTCCCCAGCCTCCACCCCATCCCCCTCACACTCCCCGGCCTCCATTCCCATCCCCACTCACACTCCCCGAGCCTCCACCCCCATCCCAACTCACACTCCCTGAGCCTCCACCCCCATCCCCACTCCCCGGCCTCCATCCCCACTCACACTCCTCAAGCCTCCACCCCATCCCCACACACACTCCCTGAGCTTCATTCACACTCACCGAACCTACACTATCCACACTCACATTTCATGAGTCTCTACCTCATCCTCACTCACACTCAGTACTTCTACTTCGTCCCCACTAGCGACCTCTAAACTTCTCTCATTCCTTGAGTCTCTCTAAACCAGCGGTGGGCAAACAGTAGGTCCCCAGATGTTATCCCCACTCACACTCCGTGCTTCTACATTAGCCCCACTTGAAATTACTGCTCCTTGTTCATCTTCACTCACACATTCAGTGTTTCTACCCCATCACTACTCATTAAGTGCTTCTACTCCATCACCACACAAACCTATCCGGTATACCACCACCGCCCATGCTTAGTGCTTCAGAAGCCATCATAAGACTAATTAAGGACTTTTTCTTCCAATAAATTTGTCAGTTTAGCTTCTAGTTTTGTCAATTCTCACAGTTGTTCATAGCAACGGCTGTGGGGAAAAGCGTTCTCATGCATAGCGAGATAAGTTCTATGGAAGATTCTGTGGTCTTGTGGAATCCTCCAGAGATCTGTGTTGTACGCTCGCTCAGGTCCTGGGAGAAGATGGATGCTGGAGGAAAGATGGCGGTGTGTAAACTATAATAATAAAGAATTATTAAGGTGCTAAATCAACCCTGCAACATTCCTTTTAATGTAGAAACGTGTACACCCTGGAGGTTTAATTAATGTTATTAAAAGAAATACTGAATTGCTCTAAAGGTGTGGATTAGGTTTATACACCAGCGAAAATGTATGTGAAAATAATCAAATTTTAAATAATTGTCTAACTCCGCTATTCTGACCTTACTTTGTGTTTTGGTTAAGGATTTTATGTAATGGATTTGTTTTAATGCCATCGCTAAGTTAGGTAGGTTAAAGCAGCTACCTGTTCAAGCCGCGGGGTTGCATGTTTTGGTATTTGGCAAATGTTTCCCAATCGAGGTCAGCAAAAGGTAGTTTTGTAATAGAAACTTGTATTAACCGGCTGTCAAATCATTTAAAGAGTGTGAGTACGATAGTGCTTTCAGTCCACACAGGGAAATGAGCCCCGCGTTATTAATAAATATAGCCTAATATTGCTGTCTGTGTTGATTATTGTCATAGTTGCAAATCTTATAGAAAAACTACCACACAAGGATAATTTAATGTGTCTCTTGTAAACAGCTGGGGGACTTATGAAAACTACATTATAGCACGACTCCGCTAGCGCTAAATCCTGATCTAAAGTAATTTTGTCACTGTAATAGAAGGTTCTTTAGAAATTGTTCTGCTACCTGGGGCTTTATCCAATTATGATTTAATATAAATCAAAACACTCTCAAATTGTACCTTCAGGTGGCGAAGCCTAGTTTGTTTGTTTGTGTTTTTTATTGTTCCAAAGTGCAATCAAAACACAAGTTTACATTTTCAAAATAATCAGGTTTGGCCGTGAATAATGACAGAAAATGTCAAATTCTGTAAACTTGCTCTGTCCTTCTCGGTGACATCCTTTTTAATATTTAGAATAATGTAATTGAGGGCAAAGTGGTTTTTTTTTGTTTTTTGTTTTTTTGTTCTAGAGGAAACGCTTTGGCAGGGGCCTTCTGTGAGGGGTTGAAAAATGGGGTTTATTTATTAAGCAATTCAAAAAACTCAGTTGTAAAAATAAGCCAAGTTGAAGTTTCTCTTCTGCAATATTGTCTCTTCTCTTAAATTCCTGCTTTATACAACATCCTTCAGATGTGCTTTGCACTCATTAATTTTATAGAATTTTAATAAATAAATAATTGTGGACGTTCTCTATATGTAATATGATGCTATGCGTGTCCTTTCAAAGCATGGACATGACTGTGTGTATATATGATACTGTACACACACAGAATAATGTGTGCGTCTCTCTGATACACACACTCTGCTGACTCAGCATGACTAGCCTGCTCTCGTTCCCCCCTCCCAGTTTATTTTTAAAGTTGTGTTCCCTTGGGACTGTTGTTAGGTTATTTCCTCTCACTGTAGTAGAGAGATCTTGTTGTAAGTGTGAATGGGAGATCCTTGGATGTAGGTGTGCACTGCAGGTAGAAGGTGCGTGTAAAAGGGGCTCTGTAAATGGTGTATTCCTTTTTTGAACTTGCTATTTGAAGTTACTTATATACATTGTTCATCTCCTCCCTTTAGAGTTTGCTGACACAAGTTTACTGGGTAATGACGACTCTCAGCAAAGGAAATAGCAAAGCGTTGAAGGTAAATCACCAATAAATGTCCTGTTTCCTCACACGTCTGCCCTCTCGTTGACCCGCAGTGAAGGTTAACAAACTATTCTGTGTTGTGCACAGGTAAAACGGGAGCCTGGAGAGAATGGCACAAGCCTTACAGATGAGGAATTGGTCACCATGTCTGTGCGGGAGTTGAACCAGCATCTCCGAGGTCTCTCCAAAGAGGAAATTATCCAGCTGAAACAGCGCCGACGCACGCTCAAAAACAGAGGCTATGCAGCCAGCTGCCGGGTAAAGCGAGTGACGCAAAAGGAGGAGCTGGAGAAACAGAAAGCAGAACTGCAGCAAGAAGTGGAGAAGCTTGCCATGGAGAATGCAAGCATGCGCCTCGAACTGGACTCATTGCGCTCAAAGTACGAGGCCCTTCAAAACTTTGCCCGGACTGTAGCTCGCAGCCCCATTAATCCTCAAAGGGGACCCTTTAATCCTGGGATCAGGCCTCTCATGCCAGCCAAGGTGGCAGCTACTAGTGTAATCACCATAGTCAAGTCCAAAACGGATGCTTAGTCATATATAGGGTGTTCGATGGACCGGACGCCATTGCTTTGTCGTCCACACACCCCAAAGCACAAACACCCTAATATTGCATTAGCCAGATAAAAGGCTCCTCATCTCCAGCTCACAACCAGGCGAAGAACCAGTGGTGCAAGAAGTTGTACCATGAGCTGTAAGATTTCTGGTGTTGGGGTTCTGAGTGTGGCAAGGTGGGTTTGAAGCAGCATTGTATGATTTTTGTTGCAGTAAGAGCAGGTGATAAATGGTGAGCGTTTTTGTCTCACTGCGTGTTCCTGTGATCATGCATTGTGGAGTACTCAGTCCAGTTTTCAGCCACCCAAATAAGCCATTGAACATCCTGGAGAATAGGGAAAACGTGTGTGTGTGTGTGTGCTTGTCAACATTGTGGCTTCATATTCAGACGCAGAAATATTCCAAAGGACCTAACACAGCCGGCAGTTTTGTGTCAAAGTGTGCTTCTTGTGCAAGTTCGTGTGTGATGACATCTGGCTAACTCACGTGTGGTGGATCTGTGTGTATTTGTGCAACTTGACCTCAGTAAATAGTATTGTGACTGTGTCAGTCTGTGCAACAATGCTCCGTGTCCATCTGTGTTTGAGAGGTTGTCTTGTTTGTTGAGAGTTGTTTGCAGCATTGTGACATCACCGTGTTTAGTGTTGTGATTTCACACTGTGCTGTTGTGGGTTGTTGTGTAGTTTTGTAACTATATGACAGTGTAACTTGTAAGCCAGTGCATAGTGGGGTCACTGTGATGCTTAGTGCAGTATTGTAAGTCTGTGCCCAGTCTGTATTGAGGATTGTAGGACAGTGTAATTGTTGTGATTATTACTTGGGGTGTGTGGTGTACAGCCCTTGAAGTGAGTGGATCTACCTATACCAAGTTCTAGATTAGCCTGCAGACATGGTGTTGATGTTGATTGCAATGTCCAACACACTTTGTCCACTGTTATGATGCTACGATGTATCAGTTGAATTCAGCGTTAGATTTCTGTACTTTTATTTATTTATTTATTTTTACATCACAAGGGTTAAAGACCAATAATTGAAAACATGGTTTCAGAAATTGGAAACCGTAAGAGAGCAGAAGGGGTTATGTGTGCATGAAATCTACCTTAGATAAACATGATACTCTATTCAACACCGATGAGTTGTTGCCATGGTAACACTAGAGGTCTGTATTACAGCATCTGCAACTGTAAGATTGATGGGGCCTCCTTGAATCCCTCGCAGATGAATTCGGTCATAGATAACATCCGAAAAATTCTAAATATTTCAGTACCTTTTCTGTTCTCTAAAGTCAAAATGTAAAAATAATTGTTCTGCTCTTGCAGGCTGAGTGATGGGAATGTTAAGCCTATTGTGCTTTGGATAGCAGAATATTCTCATACCCAGCAAATTTACGATGTCATCTCAAGATTTGTGTTGTTCACAAGGTCATGACGAGTAGCTCATCACCAGCAATATTAGCAGTCAGTGGAAAATGACTTGGTAGTAGGTTTGCTCTTGCACGATCTTAAGAGATAGCGGAAACATATGGAGTTTTACTAAATTGTGAAATGTGGAAAGTTGACAAGAGAGTTACAAATATTAAGCCGAAAGGGTGAGTTGGTTACATTTCAAAATTTACTGTTTTGGCATAATCTTTGCAATTTCCTCATTGGCTTTCATAATTTCCATGTTAGAAAATAAACCCCAAACTTTCTTTCAATACAGGATTTTGGAGATATGTTGCCCTACAGCAATATGTTACCCCCATAAGCATGAGAGTAATAGTGCAGCCACAGATGATGGGCCAATGATGGTCTTATCTATGTCTTTGAGCGATAGTTCATCAGGCGCGTTTTGATACTCTTACGGATTGTGTTTGGAGCAGGTCTCCAGGCGTGCCCCTTATCTCTACTATGATTGGCCTTTCAAGGAAATACCTGCTAGTCTAATTATTGACAAGAATACGACATTCTCAATCCCATGTGCCAAATTCATGCAGAATCTGTTTCCTCCATTTCACAGTGACAGGCAAATGGTTAAAATGATAGAGCATACAATTTTTAACATTTTATTTTGATTCCATATTTCAATCTAGCTTGATTCAAATATCATAAAATGTACCCCGTCTTGTTAAATTCATCCTTGACATATTGGTACGCCCTTATTTCTTTCTTTAACAAATGTGATCTGGACAAGTCTTTTGTTTGCAATGATCTGCACTGCCAAACTCATTGAAAGACTTACGAATAATAGTGACTGAGACAGGTTATATCTCAAAAGCGCGTGAACCAGTATTTATTGCTAAATTATTGTAGCATTTGCATTTGTAGATAACACGAGAAAAATATATTGTGTTAATTTATTATTGTACGTTTCGGGTTACCCAGCTTCTGTCCTCAGTGGTTCCTGACAAATAGGGATTTTCGGTGGGTACCAGGTCAAACAGCGGGATTTGAGCAAAGATTGCCCAGCCATTTACTATAGCTGTTTTGGTCAGTCTAAGATCTCTTGAGGACTCGAGTTAAGCCCCTGTTGTATATAAAATATGTTTGATATAAGGTCTATTTTATTTTGTATAATGTCAATAAACCACTTTTCAAAAGTTCTGATTTGTGTTAAATTACTGCAAGCACTTGACTTTAAAATATACACCTCTGGATTGGTTGAAGAATACCAACACACACACAAAGTCATAGGTTTGTACACCTAAAAGAGCACTTTCGGAACCATAAACACTGCATACTGATGTTGTGGTGTTATTAGACTACAGGTGCGATCCCTTGGTTCTTGATCAAACTGTTTTCATGTCAGCTGACAGATTCAGCCATTCAATGGTGCTAAAATATGAACACAATTGATATTGCTAATGGAAGTGGAACATCCACATTAAAATAGCTGAGCAGGGAGCTAGGCAGTGGGTGTCTTGGCTAACCCTGGTTTTGGTGGAAGCTTTTGAAAACAGTTTCCACATTGCCTAATTGCACCATAACCACTTTGCTGGCATGTAATGGTTATGATGTCCAGAATGTCCCTTTAACAATAAGTATGGTGGTGTGGAAAAGGTGCAAAACATAGGTCACAAAACCTGGCGATTGATAAAATCTCTACCTCCTCATGCCAGGTTGGGTACTTTGCAAATGGGTTGTAGCCAAACCAATCATTCTTTAACACATGAATCGTTTAAAAGGAAGCGGTTGTCTCGACTTGTACTTTTACAGAGGGAGAAGGAAGTAGTGGCCTAAAGGAAATATTTCTAGCAAGATTATATATCAAAATAATTATTGGAACAAGCATTTTTAGTTTTTCTGTGGATTTGTGCTTATACACTTCTCAATTTATAATCCCAAAAGATACAATTAGGATTACTCACTATATTGTCCCTTTGTACAGCGCTACGGAATCTGATGGCACTATATAAATAATAAAATAATAATATTGTGAATTGATGTAACCTCTCCAAAGCTGCCTTAATGTTTATCCATAGGATCTGTACTACTGCCTGTTCCCCAACATAAGACATCTGCTACCTATTTAAAGGAACATAATAGTGTTAGAAATACAAACATGTATTCCTAAAGCTACAGTCTTCTCCTCATTTAGATTATGGACCCCCTGCAAGGGTTTAAAAATAAATATATATATTTTCTTATCTTGTATCCCACAGCGCACTGGTCTTCATGCGGCCTCCCCAGCTGAGAACATCAATCGTGATGATCTCAACTGATCCAATCTTTTCCCATTGGGAGGCCAATGTACATGCTTGACAAATTGCAGTGCTGCCCCAATCAACCACTTCTCATAGATATCCAGTGAATAAATGCATCTCTATGGGGAGCTTTCATTGTCTCCATGCAGAGCATGGAGACACTGAACGTGGGTCCTACAATCTCGTCCATGAAGTCCCTCAAGTGACTGACGGATTGATTGTCCAAGTGACCGCAGCTACTGGTGTACTTGGGCATGAATGTAAACACTGCCTTTTCTCAGAAAAAGCAGCATTTTCATTGCTGACCCTTCAGGCACAAGCTGTAGCCACCAGAACCATTACATGCTGTTTACCAGGAAAGGTTAAAGGATCTTAACATGTATAGCTTGGAGGAAAGACGAGACAGGGGGGATATGACAGCTATTTCAACCTAAATTGTTAAATTTCAAATTTTGACACTTAAAACTATAGTTGGTACTCAGTGGGTACTTGGTACAAACCGAAAAAGTGAAGAAAACTATTATGGGAATTTATTAACTTCTAGGTATTTTAGCATTTTGGCCAGCACAATCTATACATTTAAAAGGAACCAACGGGGGATCGTTGAATAAGCACATCAAACAGGATGAGTGGAACGGGTTTATAAACTGATAGTGGCCATACGATGACAGCGATCAGTTTAAAAGGAGTCCGCTTCACAACTTAGTGGAGAAGAAGGAAGAATAGACTACAGAGGGTCCAGAATCACAAACTGGGAAAGCATTGCGGCTCTCTGCAGCTGGCGAGGTCAGAATTCACACTATCTTAAAGGTGATAAACAGGTCCCAGCATTCAATTAATGGTAAGATGCAGCCTTATTAAGTCAAGGAATACCACAACGTTTCAGACTTGCAAGCAGACTTTTCTCAAAAGGTCTGATCGCAAGATCGAAATGTTGCGGTATTCCTTTATTTGGTGAAGTTGCATCTTGCCAGTGATTGAATGCCCCGACATCTGTTTATCACTATTGAATATTGGAGTAGTATTGCCAACTCTATTCTGTTGGGAGTTAGAGTACAGTCCGTACCTTTTCTGAGTACAATGTTATCTTAAAGTGACGGTATTCATCTCATTGAAGTTGTCTGGGCGCAGTCTCCCTGTCCCTTTAGCCCTGCAATTTAGAACACTGCAGTTTTAGAGAAATTGCGATGATTATATTGCAGGGTTAAGACTGCCTCGAGTGACAGTTTACCAGACAGCCACCAGACGCACTTACTGCTGTTTCATGGAGTTTAACTTGGTGAAACAACACTGGTTGTCCTCGCATTTTGCATGAGGTTGTCCAGCATCTTCTAAATTGCTGTAGGAAAGCATTCCTATGGGAAAGGCCCAATGCGAGGGCGTTGCTCACCACACATTACTTTCCTCCAATCAGCTAACATCGCACAAGGAGGAGCCTGATCCCGTGTCGAGGAACCGTGACTCTGGAATCAGGTAAGTGTTTAAGGGGTTATTTAACCCTTTTGTGGGGGAGGGGAAGAGACTAAGGGGGCTGCAGAGGGACACTTTAGTGTTATGAATGCAGTTTTGTATTGTACAATGACAATACCACTACACCCAGCCCATGGCTATGCCGCTTGGAGTGTTCCTTGTCAGACATATTCTTTACAGGAGGTCTAAAGTGTTAGGAATAAACATTTGTTCGCCAGGGGCGGGGCCTAACTGGCATGGTGAGCGGTAGCACATTGCAAGAGCTCCTGGAGAATTCCTGTAAACTAGTCATTTTTGACGACTTTTGCTAAGCTAATCTAGCTTTATATGACTCCGCTACGTTCCTGCAATCCAGGAGCACACACCCTGCGCAACTGAGAACCAGCAGCGCTTCATCTGGTCGGTAATCTACTGGGGCAATCCTGCGGCTTAGCTACACAGGAGTGAGGGCGGCCGATCCCTCACCCACGATATCCCAGAGGAAGCCACTGTGAACTGCCCTGTTTCTTCTCCTGTCGGTGAGGGATATCCCGGCACTATACCAACTGGGACTGTCCCAAGCACACCCTGATACGACTTAAGGATCCAGCTTCGGCATCCAAGATGGCGATGGAGCAAGACTCCATGAAGCCCGGGAGGCCTCTACGGGACTTTCTGGTGGCATTTAAAAACCTGTGTAATGCCTTCTGGAAAAGTATCTCTTGATGTCTATGCTATATGCAAATACCTTGCTCTAATGTCTATATCCAGATAATGTGTCAATGCAAGCTTGTGTTTTTTTACTCTGCACTATAAAAATAAATAAAGATTTAAAAAAAAAAAAAAAAAAACCCTTTGTTCACCATAAACCAGTATTTTACTTCCCTTTTTACAGCTACGAGGCTTCCTAGGAGAAAGCATGGCCTCCTCTGAGTCGATCCAATCCAAACATTGGAAACCTGATGTGCATGCGCAGCAATCGCTGAGTGTGCATCAAATTTCCTAATTGGAAAGCATTGAATCAGTGCTCTATCAGGGATGCCATCACATTACCGAGTTTTACTTGGTTGCTGCAGCACAAAACACCTCTAATGACTGTCAGTAAGAAACCCACTGGAAATGTGTTGTGTAACTTTAGTTGTCCCATAAGGTGGATCAATTAACATGACAATAAGATCACTTAACCCCGATAGCCCGCACAGACCCCATATCTCAGCTTATTAGAGCCTTTGGGGAGAGGTGGAATAGGAGGTTTCCAGGATGAGCGTGTGGTTGCAATGTTTTGGGAGGGCACCACAGAACCATAGCACCCCCCCCCCACACATTTTGTACCTTTTCACAGTAATATACATGAAATGGCTGCTTCACCTGCAAGGAGTATATGGTACTACCAAGGCAGAAAACTTCAGGTAACGCAACACAAACGCAGAGACTGCACTAACAGTCTATTCCAGGACATTCTATTTGACCACATGAATAATATGGGTTTATTGCTGCCTACTGTCAGATCTCTTTGCTACATCTCGGCAAATGTTACAAATGTATTATCCACATGAGCCCATCTAACATTGGGCAGCAGTACTAGACTGGGATGGGTTAGACCAGTGCCATTAGCCCTTCATTTCCACCCAAAGTTGGGCAGGCTAAAACGGAAAGGTATATACACCCATTGGTGTGGGGATACAGCTAGAAAAGAGAAAGACAAAAAGAAAAGCAATAGTGTAACACAATTTAAGCAACATGACTGTGCATTAGATTGCACTCATAGCATAGCCAGGAAAATAAAATGATGGGAGTCCTGAATAAATGTTCTCCTTTCCTGGCTAAACACACGTCATTCCCAAGACCCCAATGAAGGAAGAAAAACCAAATCAATAAACCCCCAAACCAAACCCACCCGGAATGAAATAACCCCCAAACTAAACCCACCCAGAATGAAATAACCCCCCAAACAAACCCACCCAGAATGAAATAAACCCCAAACAAACCCACCCGGAATGAAATAAACCCCCAAACTAAACCCACCCGGAATGAAATAACCCCCAAACAAACCCACCCAGAAAGAAATAACCCCCCAAACAAACCCACCCGGAATGAAATAACCCCCCAAACAAACCCACCCAGAATGAAATAACCCCCCAAACTAACCCACCCGGAATGAAATAAACCCCAAAACAAACCCACCCAGAATGAAATAAACCCCCAAACTAACCCACCCGGAATGAGATAACCCCCCAAACTAACCCACCCGGAATGAAATAAACCCCAAAACAAACCCACCCGGAATGAGATAACCCCCCAAACAAACCCATCCGGAATGAAATAAACCCCCAAACAAACCCACCCGAATGAAATAAACCCCCAAACAAACCCAATGAGATAACCCCCCAAACTAACCCACCCGGAATGAAATAAACCCCAAAACAAACCCACCCGGAATGAGATAACCCCCCAAACAAACCCATCCGGAATGAAATAAACCCCCAAACAAACCCACCCGGAATGAAATAAACCCCCAAACAAACCCACCCGGGATGCTCAGAATGTTAATGAATAATTCTATGATTTATTGCGGCCCTGACAGCTGGGGGAGCTTTGTCTATAAGTGATGCTGACATGTTTAGCCAGGTTAATGTATTTCCATGATTTGCTCCAGCCAGGAGCCATTTTGTTGGAGCCCAGTGGGCGCCGGGGACATTCTGTTCGTTGCGGTTCCTCTCTAGTGTTTATCGCTCGGAGGCTCCGGAAGCGGTAGGTCCCGAATAGAGCTCGGAAGTTACCGGTAAAATGGGTCGCGCGGAGCGGAAAGCGGAGGCTCGGGAAGAGATGTTACGGCGGGAGCTGCACCAGGACCGGCGGAGACAGGTAGGTGACGGCGGGCCCGGGGGGCCCGGGGGGGGCCGTGCTGGGAGCCCGGCGGGGGCCGTGCTGGGAGCCCGGCTCACTGTCTGTCTGTCTGTTCAGGTTACCCGGATCCTGCAGAAAGCGGCGGCCGAGCGGAGCCCCGGGGAGCGGGAGCTGCTCTCACAGTGCGGGGACCTGGTCCGGGAGCTGGAGACACGGAGACACCGGAGAGACCGGCAACGATCCCGGGAACAGGAGGTCAGTGTGGGGATAATGGGCATCATAGTCACCTCATACAGCACCCTGATAATGGGCATCATAGTCACCTCATACAGCACCCTGATAATGGGCATCATAGTCACCTCATACAGCACCATGATAATGGGCATCATAGTCACCTTATACAGCACCCTGATAATGGGCATTATAGTCACCTTATACAGCACCCCGATAATGGGCATCAGTCACCTTATACAGCACCCCAATAATGGGCATCAGTCTCCTTATACAGCACCCCAATAATGGGCGTCATGGTGTCCTTATACAGCACCCCGATAATGGGCGTTAGTCTCCTCATACAACACCCTGATAATGGGCATCCTAGTCTCCTCATACAGCACCCTGATAATGGGCATTATAGTCACCTCATACAGCACCCTGATAATGGGCATCATAGTCTCCTCATACAGCCCCTCGGCCTCGTGCTGCAGCCCCCCAGCAACAGGGCTCGGCCTCGTGCTGCAGCCCCCCAGCAGCAGGGCTCGGCCTCGCTACCTTTATGCCCTAACTATAGGTTCTGTTGTCCCTGTAGAGTCTGTGTTGCTCAGTTAATCCCCTATGGCTTCTGTTGCCCTAAGTTTCTCTCCAAACCTGTGTCCTCACCAGTGCTAATCTGGTCAATGGATAGAAAGTGTGGTTTAATTTAGAAGCAGATTGATCTCTTAGTGAATACACAAGCAGACAGAGTCCCTAGTGGTAGTCACTCATACACTAGTGCCAATAATTGTGTTTTCTCTAACTTTAGGTTGTGGATGATTTGCCTTTACTGCAGGAGAAGGTTTTGCAGTTGGCTGATGCTGTACGCAGAGCATCCTACATGGTGATCTACACTGGAGCCGGGATTAGTACGGTAAGGCCGCCTTTGTTATTGTGTCTATAAGGATACTGCAAAACCTAACCAAGTGAAGGTACCTTTATTTATGGGCATGTTTTGTACATTGATTTATTTAACTTTAAATGATTACTCCAAGCACCATAACCACTACAGCACCCTGTAGTGGTTATGGTGTCAGTCGTTCCTTGGCCGACTCAGTGTAAGTAAACCGTTTTTAAAATAGTTTTGACTTCTTACCTGGAGTCTGCCGGGCACTGCTCCTCATCTTTCTGCCTGAACTAAACCGTGCACTGCATGACTTGGCTCAGAGCTGATGGAAGCTCTTTGTATGAACATATGGCTCTTGTGGAGGCTGCAGAGAGATGGGAAGCTCAGCGAACCCCATGTGTTAGGACGTTAAACTGTTCTGAAATGAATTGACTACTTAGACTAGTAGGGGGTCGTGGCACTCCTGACACCATGAACCTTAGAGTGGATATGGTGCTTGTAATCAGTGTGCAAAACGTGTATGTAAATTGGAGAAATATCAATGTCTTTTAACCTGTCCCTCTGCTTTCTACAGTCAGCCGCTATCCCAGATTACAGAGGGCCGAGTGGAGTGTGGACGCTTCTGAATAAAGGCAGGAGTGTGAGGTGAGTCTACCGTGAAATGTACCCCAACTTTATTAAACTGATACAATAACGATCTGCTTCCTAACTCCCTATTTTCTTTTTACTCAAAATCTAGTTAAATCTCTGAATTTGGTTAACAATCGAGATTTGCGTTCGTACTAAAGGCAATTGTCGCAATATTTCCCAAAGTTGTATGCCAACAAACTCCAGAATTCCGTTGTAAAATATCCACATTTTTACTTTTTTAAAACACTAAATTCAGTTTCTGAATTTGAATGTTTAGCGACAAGTGCAAATTCCTGCCGGCAGATGGCAGTGATACACAGATTTTGCTGTTCGGCAGTTTTTAATGCCCTTTTTTCTATTAATCAGGAGTCTGGTTCAATCGTACCATCCCATGCCAGGAGGTCTGTTCTAGTTAGATGTCCAGATCAGTGCAGACTGGTATTTTCTAATTTGATCTCATACTCCATGAGTGTTGGTTATTAGCAGGTGGACACAGAGAATGCAGCAGATTGCTGTGCTTGTGCACCACCTTTTATTGTTATTGTTTGTCTCCTCTCATAGATTGTTCTGGCTCCTGATTACTGGATGCTTAGTCTATTGATAGCTACTGCAAATCCAGATCTTTGCGAATAACCCAATGAGTTGCATTGAAATCGTTTAGCAGCTTAAAGCTCTGCAGATCTATAATTCTAGAGCTGTCTGCATGTTCAACATTTTGAAATAATGAACAGAATTTCTCTCAAATTCAGATAGAACTGAGATTCCTAGTTTTGGATGTGCTATCTGTATATTGTGTATATTTTTTTGCAAAACTAACTTTGGTCTCTGCAGAAGAGTCATGATTCCCCTCTCCCTCCCGCAGGAATGATGAACCATGTGGTAGTGTAGCTCTATGTAAGGTTCCTGTTTGCCTACCTTAGGAGTAGCTGTTAAAAGGACTCTTTTAAGCACACTGACCATTTCAATAAGCTGCAGTGTTTATAATGATGAAAGTCTGGGTGACTGTTCCCAGGTATTTGTAAAGTCGTTTTAAGAAGTTTGGTTCTCCTGGTGCCCAAACCTCTGCTTATTTTTTTTTTT